AATATAAATGAGGGGGGCTGGTCGATGTGGAGAGACGTTACGAGCGTTAAGGACAGACATTCCTGGGTGATTATAGTACGTATTTTGCAAACCACATAACAATGTACAGTGCTGCATTTGTAAACACCGCTTAGCATTCAATATTTAAAGCAGTTTGCTCTTTAGTTTTGTTCAGTGCTCAATTTGTGCGTAGTGTAACTTTTGTTGTATACATGTTCACGTATCACATACAGTATCTGTCTACATACAGTGTCTGTCTATGGCTCAGTCCCCAGCGAATTGGATTTTCAACGTTTTTGTCACTGTACCTACCGCCTTGCGTGTTGTAAGTTGCTGTACATCAGGTTAGTGCATTGTTCCCTTTCATAATCGGTTCCTTTTGTGACATTTCTCCATGCGTTTTAAGTTAAAATTTTGCGGTATGAAAGACATTTTGGCGATTTCATTCACCTCACATTTATGCATTTTAGCCCAGTCAGATTGTCTTAGCCCTTAGGTATTCTTGTTAAATAATAAATGATAAATAATGCAAGTGCTGTGGGTGTGATGAGTTCAGTTGATGACTGTATTGTTTGCTAAAAGCCGAATTTTTTTTAACACAGAAAGGCTTACTTAGTTCTGCATTTGGAAAGAGAAGCATCAACTTCTTGTTTTTACTCAATGAACTTTTTTTTTCGTTATGCCACATTGCGGCATAAATGCTTGCCTTGCAAACTGAGTTGAGGTCATAAGTACAAGTCCTGTGGTCACTCAAGGCTGCCACTGATAAGACAGGAAGAATTGCTCTTGGCCAATTCTGTTCATGCTTCCAGGCTGGTCATCCCTTTATCTACGCTGATGTACAAAGTTTAAACATTCATACTGTTATAGCTATGGGATATTTTTTTGCCAGTATCACAGTATGAAAAATATTAATAGGTGTTACCCTTTCTGGCAATAAAATAGGTGTTAAGATGTTAAAAAAACAATTAAGTCGACATTAACCACACGTACTTGTGGTAAAACATGCAAACAAACATGCTTTAATAATATTAATACTGTATCGGCATGCAGTGAGGAATGTCACATGTTTGATGTTATGTACGTATGTTGAAGTTCTTTCGCACCGTGCGTAGCCAACCGTGTTAATCGGAGGTGCGAAATACGTGAGTGTTTGAAGAGTTATTTTGAACACCAGATGATTTATTTTGAGCATGCACGTTGAGACAGGTGTACGCTTGGAATTATTTTGAGAAACAGAAAGAAGAGCATGGATTAGAGAACATATTCAGGTTAACGACCTCCATCAGTTGTTAAGGGATGTAAGTGGGCTTGGGCAGGACACATCGATGGAATGCGTGATGACCTGTCAACAATATTGATGGGAGTGGCGGCCAAGGAATGGAAGACGTCGGTCGAGGAGATGGAGTGATCAAATCAACTCGTGTTTAGTTTGTTTTGTTTTCACCTGGTGACGACGTCAGGAGACCGGTGTGCGTGTGCTGGGTGGATTGTTGCATCGCAGGAGAAATGGCGGAGGCTTAAGCATCCGTCATCCAGCAGTGGATTGACTATGGCTGCTGATGGTGATTTTTTTTTTTTTAGAAAGTACTACTTATGTCCAACAAATCATGTTGCCTCCTTTATGTGCTATATGTTGCACTGCAGTATAATTTACATGTAATGCTTTTCTCTGTCCAGAATAAGGAAATGTACTCTGTAGGCCATAGCCACAGGAGACTGGTTACCAGACTCATTCGCTTTTGGTCTTATTACCAGTAGTCAGATTGGGAATGGTGGCTTCAGTGGCTAGTGCGCTGCGCTATGAACCTGGTGCCCCGAGTTAAATTCCTGGCGATGGCTGCCATCTGCACCTCCGATTAGCACGGTTGGCTACGTCATGGTGAAGTATGGTCAAACAACCCCATGACCGATATGGTATGGGGAGGGCCGCCTTCCAGCAGTGGATTGACAAAAAAGGGCTGTAATTAAAATCATTATTACAACCAATTGTCAGGGGTAATTGCGTTATTCACACCTTTACAGTTCTGCAGTTGTACATTTATTGAACATATTTGTACTTGCAGTATAATTGCCAATTATGGAAATTTTAAAATTGCAGTGTAAGCAAACCTTTTAAATAAAAGGTTGTGTTTTTTTGTTGGTGTACGCATTAAGTTATTGCAGCGACACTAAAGAAGCAAAGGGTTACCTTATCCCCGGATCACAGTTGGTTTAACCTAACAATGCAAGTTTTCTTTCCATAGGTTTGGACACCGTAGAATAAAAAAAAAATATTCCTATTGTACTATGACACAATCAGAATGATACTTATACTGGAGGAATCCGATTAGCTATAATAAAGCTCCTCTTCACAGATGTCGAGCAGGGCCGGGTAAGAACGTTTCAACAACAAACATCACAAAAACATGATCGTAGTGCAAAGTACAAGCAAAGGTAAACAATTCACCCAAACACATAAAAATGCAACGAAACCATCCCACATCCTACCATGGCAAAGGCCCACTGAGGCATTCACTTATTTGTAAGAAGCGATCTGGCCACAAATGACGCGTTTGTGCTCTGTGGTTTGACACATGTACGCATCCCTATGAGAGATTAAAAACTCAGCCGCCTGCCATTCGAGCGGTGGAACAGTGCACAACCTTGTTTACATTTTCACAGTTCGGTGCAGCCTTTCATGCATTGACGCGCATACAAATAGTAATATGGCTTTTAATTTAGATGTCTATTACACAGATGGTGTTTTCAGTAAATGCTTAAATCTGTAGGAACTAGCCTTTTGCCCGTCCAAGGACGCCAGGTGTATTGCAGTAAATATGAAACTTGCAAGCGAAAAACAGACCCTTGACGTGATATTCATTGCATCCATTCGTGTGCAATTTGTAAGGCCGCGGTGACACAGACTTATTTCATTTAAAGGTTATAATCCCTTGTGCATCGTGACGTCCTTTTTACTTCTATGCGTTACGGAGATCGTGTGACGTGAGGGTTCGGCCTTTGTAGTGAGGGTTATAAGTTGGCGCTGAGGATGGGGGAGGAGGCGCATCGCTCCCCCATGTGGAGTGACGTCACCCGCTAATTATTAATGGGGGGGGGGGGGGTGTCCATATGGAGGATGTCACCTGTTCATGACTAATAATGAGGGGGGATATTCGATGTGGAGTAACGTCACCTGCTCATGATTATTAAAGAGGGGGGGTTCTCCATGTGGAGTGACGTCACCCGCTAAATCTTAATGGGCGGGGGGGTGTGTCCATTTGGAGGACGTCACCTGTTCATGATTATTAATGAGGGGGGCTGGTCGACGTGGAGTGACGTCACACGCGGGACAGACATTCTTGGCTCATTATAGTAGTAAATATTTGCATAGGCTCGTGTGATATGTTGTCTCCTGCGATGCCATGGTGAGCATTTTTGTAATTTTTAAAAATTTTACTTTTGGACACTGTGCTACAGTCGAATGTGGTTGTACACAAATGCTAATAGTTTATTTTATTGCCAAACAATAAAACTGAACTGTACACGTTTGGGAATCAGTGATCCTTACCTGATGGTCTGTATTGCATGCATATGACACCATATTTCCTCATGGTATTTGATGATTCAAACTTTAGTTCATGTAGTACACCTGTCAGAAGCTTGGTGAACTAACACAATTGTGCTACGGTTCGATGATCTCAGATCGAAATGGACACCGTTCACCGTGACCTCATGAGTCACGTAATGGACTGTGTGTTCTTTTAAATTATTAGCAAGGGATTGAGCACACGCAGTGAGTTATGGCAGCCGTGGTTAAGAATGTATCATGCAGAACTGTATGCATAGTGAAACCATACTTGACTTTAGATCTCTCAGCCACCACCACCCATACTCGGCAAATAACCCCCCCCCCCCCCCTTAACTGATGCATTGCCCAAAAGGAGCACCTGTCGTCACTGGGACCGCACCTATCACTGTGTGCCATTCCAGGCTGTACCCAGCATTGCACAACTCTGTTTAAAATTTGCTTGCTTAAATACTGATGGATAATATTGTTCTGGAAAGCCAATAGGCCAATGTACGATGTAAAAACATAATTTGATTTATGTGGTGACAGAACAGAGTTCTGCTTAAATGTGCCTTTAAAATCCAGTTGGTCCCTCAACTAACTGCAAATTCATATGCTTTGGGTATTTCGGTAAAGCCACGTGGATAGAAAAAATAATAAAATTAATACAAATAATAACAATATCATGACGTTTCGATCGCAACACAAGCAATCATCATCAGGTGAAAAATATAGCGGCAGGAAAATAATATATTCTTTCCTGCCTCAGCAGCTCTCCCGTGATATTTTTCACCTGATGACGATTGCTTTTGTTGTGATCGAAACGTCGTGATAGTGTTATATTTTTTATTAAGTTTATTATTTTTCTATCTGCGTGGCCTTACCGAAAGACCCAAAGAATATGAATTCCTGCAGTCACGAAAGCTAGAGACAAATAATGCTCATGTGAAATTGTACTGATGTGTCGTGAACATCAGAAGTTTATTATCCGAGTAAATTACCAATTGAGCTATGCGGTTCTTTTTCAAGGGTGACTCAGCCAGCAGACAGACACGGCAGCGAGGGTTAACGAACACGATATAAAATATAAAAAATATAAAGTAAATCAAACCAAATGATCTCACAAAACAATTACCGTACATTCGCATTTGTTTTGTTTGTACCTCAATAATGTCTGTACAGCGATAGCAGAGTGGTTAGCCTCAGAGAAGCAGCTCCATGACTTGCTTTTGAACCAGGAAGTTGCGTCAGGTGCAGGGTATAACAATTAACGGTGAAATACTTAATTAGATACACCATTTAGAGGATAAGGGTGTCGTGAGCGTGCAAATAAAGAGCGAGCATGTTTGCATTGCACATAGAGAAGATATTGTGGCTGAAGAGAAGCAGGAGGGCCCGGCTAAACTCTCACGTGGTTTTGTTTTGCTGTGTGTGTATGTGTGTATTGCAGCCGCATGAATTTGACGAATGTCGATTTGACGTCCGAGTCAACGACAACGTCTGGTACATGAGGGCAGAAGATGCCAACGAGAGGAGAATTTGGATGGAGATCCTGGAACAGAGCAAGGTACGCTGGTTTCGGGGGTTTACTGCTTAACGCGAGCCATTTGTTCAAAGACAGGCTGCATTGTGATGTCTACAAGCATGTTGTTGCACCTATTACAGTTTGGTAATTGACGGCCCTAACAGCTCCTCCACTCATCACTTGAGACGTGATCTCAAGACCCACATTCTCTCTCCTGTTTCTTACTCGCCCTCCATTATCTGTGAACTTCATGCAAAAGGTAACCAACGCCCTGGCAATTGGGAGTCAAACAAAGGAGTGAAGTCTTTCCTTCTGCTGCGGTTAATTTTAAATCTACGTGTAAGTGCTCGTGACACGATTGGCGGCGCAAAGAATTTTAGTTGGTACATAGGGGGTTAGCCATGGGTGTCAGGTTGCAGTGCATAGGAGCAGCTTGGAGGGTTTTTGTCTGAAAACTGGTTTTACTGCATGCCTCACGTGTCAGAAAAGGAGGTCTTAACAACCAAAGCCACATCCGTAAAGAATTTTTACGTTCAATAAATAAACTGCTAATTAATTATGCTTCCAGACAGTGTTAAATTAAATTAAATTTGACGTTTAAAATGCACTTGAAAGGTGAACGGTATTGCTATAAATAAACCCGGGCACGTGTCTGTTGTGTGATAGCATAAACACAATAATGTGATTTTAATCTAGCCCCACTGAGCCTCAGTACTCTTTTTCATACGGCTTCTGCATTGGGATATTTTGGCCATTTTCTTCTCATGGAGCGTTTTGTGTGTCGGAAGTAAACTTGAGTACCGGTACGTAAGGGGGATAAGACTCCAAAGATCCATGCAAACTTGTTTACAAACTTGCTGTACTGGCATGAGCAGATATGTTTCCTCTATATATGTATCCGCCCCTCCACATACTTTTTGACAAGAGCATCCTCTGTCTCTCCAAATGGAACAAATACTCTTATACTGCATGTGGAGAGACATATGAAAGAGAACCTTGATGTACTTATCTCTTTTGTTGTTTATATTCTGCACAACAGCGCAAATAATTATTTAGTGTTATCTACTGCCATAGATGTCTTGGCCACATCACAGCCCAGTGGATTTCGGATTGCTAAATCTACATGATCAATTTATGATGCGCATTTGTGATAAGAAGTGTTCAGGTTTACCATCTCTTACCTCTAAGGTATTGGATTACATACACGTGCCACCAAACTCGGCTCAAAAACACAATTGTTGTGGGTTTGTGACCCGCTGATTCTGTTCACACCTACAATAACCTTGGCTCACAGCTAAAATTTACCACTTGGAAATGCTCTGCGTAGCGCATGCATATTGGGTGTGTACTTGCGTTGAAAGTTGTCACTTGGATACTCTCTTAGCAATAGTGGAGGACAAATTGGTGGTGAGCCCTCAGTTCTCATCTCCACGAGTGATCCGTGGGCAAACAGGAGGCGTCATTGTGTGGTGAGCTATTCTAGATTCTCGGCAAGTCATGCGATAACCACATTCATTCCATTGGCTACAATGGGGTCAGTATTTACACTAATGGCGTAATTCTTACGAGACGGTATTTGAATGTAATGCCACTGGGAGAGCTAGCAAGGAGAAGCTTTTGTTTGTTTTGTTTGTCCCCTGCAATGCAGCAACCGCGGTGCAGTAAACATTTGCCCAAATTTGCAAGAGTATATTCAACTGTTTGAAATGGGCTATCATTCAAAAGCGCCGTTAAGATGTTTTACGTCGTTGACAAGGGCATCCTGTGCATGAGCGACAGTGTGCTACTCTGTCATGGTGGGTAAACAGGAGCAGGCATTTTTTAACTGGCACGTCGTCGCAGTTGTAAACATGCGACCGCTAACCCAAAGGTCACTCTTCTGGGCCAAATCTCATTTAAACCATGATGTGTTTGCTCATTCTTAAGTGGAGTTTGTCACCGTTGCCCAGACCTTGACTTTTTCGGCAGCGTCGGGTCAGTAACCCATGTCCCACAAAAATAAATACGTCAAAGATATCTACACGGTGGCCATAAAGAAAGTAACCAGTGACAACTTTACCGTGCTGTGTTTTAAAAACCGATGAACATGATCTGGTCTGAGCACTGATTAAGTGGAAAAGATAATAACCCTACAAATTGCCATATTTTTGCTTCTGTGAGCAAGCGCATTGGAAGATAAGCACATGAGTACAATCTGATGGTTTCATGGAGGGTCATTTACAAGATTATTCTAACAATCCTCCCCATAACAGTGGGACTTTGGTATGGCCCAGTATAAAAAGCTGAGATGTGTTAGCCGTACACCGTGCAATGTTAGAGTGTTAGACTTCGATGTTGAAGCTCTGAAAATACGATTTCCTGTTTACGCCTTTCAGTGTGAAAATCCAGTTACGTTTCACAGATGTTAAAATATATGCAGAATATGCCTGACAGTCATCTCGCCACCATCCTTGAAGAGTGCTCACTGAAGGTTTTAGACGTGCATCAAAAAATTACGACCCAGCTAAAACTGTAATGCATACAGTTTATGGTTAACACGTGTGTGGCAGTAAATGGTAACTTTAAGGTTGTCCATTCAAGTTTCACGTGGTGTATACAGTATGGGTTGGAACAGTGGGAGAGTGTTTAGCATATTGCGATATGAACCCATCAACCTAAGTTTGATTTGCCGGCCACGGCTAACGTCAGTGGCAACTGTTATCTTCACTGGCACTGGCCTACTCTGCACCCTCCCCCTTCAACAACCCACACTGACGAACGTGATGAAGTGTGATCTAATAACAATGACTGACACAGCATGGGGAGACCTTAATCCAGTCGTGGATTGTGTATATACATAGTGTGTAAATTGTACTTGAAAAAATACTGTGATTCCTCAGTCTCAAAATAATGCAAAGTTCATAATGTGCCCATTGATAAGGGTGCATTATGCAATAGCCCTTGCAATAAATGCATGATAACAGCCGATAGATTCTGACATTGCATGCGATGCTGTATTTGGCTTCACTCTTCAGCCACTGCCATATGCAGTGCATGGGATATATTTTAGGTCCTTAGAATCTCAACCTCATGCTTTTTACACCCCTGTTAAAAATGTGCTTGTGGGAGGTGTTTTGAGGCTCTCCTGTGGAATTGTTGGCATTTATCTGCAGCTTAAAACATGTAATACGGAAACTGGTAATACTGGATGGGCGCGGGATTTATTTTATTTTAAAGGTGAACGCATGTACCCTTCCCCCGGGTGCTTATCATATCTATGATGTACTCTGTTAAGTTTACGGAATCGGGTGGTTCGGGGGGGATCAAAGGTCAGAGCATGCCGAGTAGCCACTGCTGAGATCCTTAGTTTGAATCTCGGCAGCTGCCCGTGAATCAACTGGGTTCTCAAATAGAGAGTTGATGTTCTCAGCCTCGGCAATATTTGGTTAATTGTCATTTGACAAAAAATACTTTATGACAAGGTGGGAAAGTGTTCTCTCCTCCTTTGTGAATTAGAGGTGACTTGAAGGGATTTCAAAAGTAGCTCTGTGGAATATGCTTCTCTGGACCATGCTATAACATGAAGGGTTCCACTGTTCTGCAACAGTTGTGAATGGATTATTAGTTTTATGATGTGATGCTGATAGCATATTAAGTATAAAATCGGGGGAGAATTTTTTTACATTGTTCCATTCCTGAGGCTCTCAGCATGTGGAGTGAAATGTTTAACTTCATGCTGAACAATACACTCTACAACCATAACACATCAGAGTACATAACACATCAGAGTACATAAGAAATACTCAAGCCACGTACACTTTACGTATGAAGGAATCAACACATTACAAGCTGTGCAGAATGATTTAGAACATTTCTATGAAGCTGCTTGCCATGCCTGCGAGTGAACATTGTATCCAATGCAGTTTCCAAAGTTGATATTTACTAAAGAACAGTTGTGCACAAAATTCCAACCAACCTTTACTGAGTGCACTTTTCCAATCTCTTTCATTTAATGTTCCAGCTACAGTGAGAGAAAAAAGTATTTGATCCCCTGCTGATTTTGTACGTTTTCCCATTGACTAAGAAATGATCAGTCAATAATTTTAATGGTAGGTTTATTTGAACAGTGAGAGACAGAATAACAAAAACATCCAGAAAAACGCATGTCAAAAATGTTATAAATTGATTTGCATTTTAATGAGGGAAATAAGTATTTGACCCCTCTGCAAAACATGACTTAGTACTTGGTGGCAAAACCCTTGTTAGCAATCACAGACATCAGACGTTTCTTGTAGTTGGCCACCAGGTTTGCACACATCTCAGGAGGGATGATTTTGTCCCACTCCTCTTTGCAGACCTTCTCCAAGTCATTAAGGTTTCGAGGTTGACGTTTGGCAACTCGATCCTTCAGCTCCCTCCACAGATTTTCTATGGGATTAAGGTCTGGAGACTGGCTAGGCCACTCCAGGACCTTAATGTGCTTCTTCTTGAGCCACTCTTTTGTTGCCTTGGCCGTGTGTTTTGGGTCATTGTCATGCTGGAATACCCATCCACGACCCATTTTCAATGCCCTGGCTGAGGGAAGGAGGTTCTCACCCAAGATTTGACGGTACATGGCCCCGTCCATCGTCCCTTTGATGCGGTGAAGTTGTCCTGTCCCCTTAGCAGAAAAACACCTCCAAAGCATAATGTTTCCACCTCCATGTTTGACGGTGGGGATGGTGTTCTTGGGGTCATAGGCAGCATTCCTCTTCCTCCAAACACGGCGAGTTGAGTTGATGCCAAAGAGCTCCATTTTGGTCTCATCTCACCACAACACTTTCACCCAGTTGTCCTCTGAATCATTCAGATGTTCATTGGCAAACTTCAGACGGGCATGTATATGTGCTTTCTTGAGCAGGGGGACCTTGCGGGCGCTGCAGGATTTCAGTCCTTCACGGCGTAGTGTGTTACCAATTGTTTTCTTGGTGACTATGGTCCCAGCTGCCTTGAGATCATTGACAAGATCCTCCTGTGTAGTTCTGGGCTGATTCCTCACCGTTCTCATGATCATTGCAACTCCACGAGGTGAGATCTTGCATGGAGCCCCAGGCCAAGGGAGATTGACAGGTCTTTTATGTTTCTTCCATTTGTGAATAATTGCACCAACTGTTGTCACCTTCTCACCAAGCTGCTTGGCAATGGTCTTGTAGCCCATTCCAGCCTTGTGTAGGTCTACAATCTTGTTCCTGACATACTTGGAGAGCTCTTTGGTCTTGGCCATGGTGGAGAGTTTGGAATCTGATTGATTGATTGCTTCTGTGGACAGGTGTCTTTTATACAGGTAACAAGCTGAGATTAGGAGCACTCCCTTTAAGAGTGTGCTCCTAATCTCAGCTCGTTACCTGTATAAAAGACACCTGGGAGCCAGAAATTGTTCTCATTGAGAGGGGGTCAAATACTTATTTCCCTCATTAAAATGCAAATCAATTTATAACATTTTTGACATGCGTTTTTCTGGATTCTCTTGTTGTTATTCTGTCTCTCACTGTTCAAATAAATCTACCATGAACATTATAGACTGATCATTTCTTTGTCAGTGGGCAAACGTAAAAAAATCAGCAGGGGATCAAATACTTTTTTCCCCTCACTGTATGTTGTGTGTTTGTGAACCGCTTGGGAAACCTGTTTGCCCCCCCAACAGTTTGAAGTCTGAAATGGGGGTTTGTTTAATGGTTCCATTTGGGTGACCGTTAAGTGGTGAGCAGGAGGGCTTTTTGTTTAGCACAGCCGACTTTTGATGTGTATTTTTTGTAACGATTGCCTTGAACTAGAAAAGCCCTGTTCCTTTCAACCTCTGCTCTTGTGTAGCTGCAGACTGATTTAGTTGCCTGGCCAGCCCAGCTTGTGTTTCATTAACTATTGCCATCCGCTGGAGGTGAGGTGAGGTGTCTGCCCACTGCGTTTACTTATTCAACAGATGGTTGTTCAAGGGGAAGGCTTCATAAAATCCCACAGCCCTCATTAAAAATTAATCACAAACAGGGTTTTGCTTTAAACGTGATGCATATTTATCTTTTATCATACTAATAGTTTGCGTCTGGCTGCCTACTGGTGGCGTTTGCGACATTTAAAAATGTACACGGCAGGGAGAAAGCAACATTATTTGGAGACAAAATAAGCTGTTTGTATTAAATTCCCACTTGAATAATTTGTTTTACATCAGTTTGACCCAACGTGTGCAGTCATGTTTTATACTAAGATTGCTTTCCGAACAGCTGCTTTTAGATAGGTTTAAAAAATATATATGATAAAAAATTATATATCTGCACGTTTTTTCTATTAATTAGTAGGGTAAAAAAAACGATCAAAAGGATGAATGGTGTCATATTCTTAGTTCTTTCGGTAAAGTCACGTTTAAGGGACCATAACACAAACGGTCGTCTTCAGGTGAAGACGACCGTTTGTGTTATGGTCGAAACGTCGTGAGAATTTTTATTGTTTTATATATTTTATTATTTTATTGTTTCTCTTAAACGTGACTTTACCGAAAGAATTAAGAATATGAATTACTGCAGTCACGAAAGCTTTAAATCACAAGATGAATGGTGTCATTCAACGTTTAATGTTAAACACAAAAAATAATTTGACATTGCAATAGAACACAAACACAAACCAGGCACATTAATCAATAACGGCGCCTCGAAAAGGGAATATATAAATCATGAATATGTTTGGAAATGTTTTGGACAATGGTTCTTTCTCTGCTATTAGGAAGGGAGCCATTGGCTGTAATGTTGCCTTTTTGTGTTATTGCCGAATGTATTGAGTTTTTATTTCACATTAGCCTTTCTAACCGAGTTTCGGTCTTTTCTGGTTGGAAACTAGAAAGGTAAGTCCGTGCACCAGTTGTGTGTATGCGTGTGTGTTACGTGTGCGTGTGTGTTACGTGTGCGTATGCTACACTATTGCTTGTCGGGAGCAGTAGTTTGGTGGTTAGCACGCTGCACCACGAACCTGGCGACACGGGTTCGATTCCCGCTTATGGCCAACACCAGTGACGATTATCTGAAGCGGTCATGGGCCTCCTATCCGAGGTGAACTCGGCCTCAAATTAGTACCTCGTGCAGTGTGTAAACATCGCCACTGGGGAGACAAAGGCGGCCGGGTTTGTTGCTGGCCACCCACCCCCTCTTGTGCCGTGCCAGCCTTCATAGATGCTCGCTGACAGCACTTGCTCCAACAGTCTGTTCAGGCCAAACGGGAGATATTTGACTTTATGTGTACGTGCGCTTACGTGTGTGCCTTGTCGTTTCCACGTGCCCACGGCTTGCAGCAAGAAATTATCAACGGGTCGGACTTTAACTTGCGCCGCCATGGCTCCTTGGCCTCCATCCTGTCGACCACCAGCGCCTTTTCTACCACCTCCATATCCTCTTTCAAGGTGGGCATTTGCGTGTGTCAAAAAAAACAACACAAATAGCTAAAATGAAAACCGTGACAATAACCTCAATGACAAAAAATCCTTTCCTGAAGCCCATTGCTGCATGACATGCTGACCCTGCCAAATGTATCTTTGTTCCAGGGTTTGTTATGCGTACCTTCTTTTGCCTGGATAATCAATGTTGTTATCGGCGGGGGAGTGGTGTCGCAGTGGATTACGCGCTACGCCTTGAACCCTGCGATCTGAGTTTGATTCGTGGCCATGGCTAACGTCAGTGGCGAGTGATATCTGATCCCCAGCCCTCCCCCACCCTCGGACCCTCACCAACCTGCACAGCCCATCGTGGTGGTGATGTAAGGTCAAACAACCTAATTTATCGACACGGCATGGGGAGGCCTTCATCCAACAGTTACTTGACAAAGGGCTGTAAATTATTATTTTTGATCATTGGCGAATTAAGTAGCCTAATTTTAGATTATCAGGCTTTCCTATTTTTTACAGTGAACTATGCAGACAAGGCATTAGTCACATTTGTGCATGTATTTTTTCATGTAAGAGGTGTTTTATCATGTGTAATATGTGGTTTCAAGGTGGGTTGTGTGTAATGAAATGACAAGGGTGTGATGTAGAACTGGAACATGTTTTAAACAAACAAAAAATAGCTTGGAAAAGTGGACCACTCATTTGTTAATTGTCTCATCAGCACATTGCTGCGCAATTCATCGGTTTAAATTTACACATGTTGAAGACGCGCTGTCATTTCCCATGAACTCTTCATGCCACAAAACAGTGGTTCCCAACCTTTCACATACCTGTCAACCCCTTTTCAGTACCTACCTTATTACAGACCAATTCAGACCTTATTGGTCACCTCGTGCCCTTATAAATCTGAACGTTCATCCTACAAAGTCAAGGGAGAAGCACAAACAAATAGACACTTTTTTTTGCCCGCATTGAAACGGGTGTACACCGTATGGACCTGAAAACTCAATATCCCTGTTCAAGAATACAGGTAAACCGTATGGGTTGACAGGTATGCTTTCAGGACCCCTTGTGCCATACTCAACCCCGAAACAGGACGTTGCGGACCATCATGTACCAATAATATATTTTTCTAAAATAACATGCCTCGAAAAGCACCGGAAAATGCTCATCAAAGAGTTACGTAAACGATTTGCTTGTTTTTTTTTTTCAATTGGTCTGAATAGTTTTGCAATGGGCAGTAAAAAATATAACGTGTAGGTGAAAAAAGTAACTGCGACAGTTCCGTAGACTGCTTCCCACGGCCTTGCAGACCACGAGTGTCTTGCGGGTCACAGGTTGGGAACCACTGCTCAAGAGTCCCATTACGTACGGCAGGAGCAGTGTTTGTTGTTGATCTTGTTATTGCACTGCTTCTATAGTTCATTGAAGCTTTTTTTCCTCGCTTCTCAGGTACAGAATGAGTGGATTACGTACTCGGGGCATGTTCTTGCTTGGCCTGTTTTTCACTGCCGTACATCTGATGATGGGGCTGTGTGTTTTGTGTGTACGTGTGAATGCTTTGTACGTGTGTTTTTGTGTGTGTGCAGACCCTTGCACACACAATGGACGAAAGGAATCTAAGAAATGAGTGTGAATGAATAACTTATCTTTTATTACTGTTGCTAGACGTGTTTACGTGACCTCTCAAAGCAACCCTAAGAAAAACATCTCTTTTAAGAGCAAAGGTCACCAAAGTTTGGAAAAAGGCTAATGCACAATCTCTGTTCTTTGTAATCTGTTTATTTCTTCCAAAAGTTCAGACGTCGTGTCATCTTCACAGTTAATAAATCCGTGCATTTGTGCACACTCTCTTACAGTACGTGGGAATGACGCGCATGGGTTAAAAATGGACATGTCTTCATCACTGTGGGAAACGTGACCTGCAATTTTGAAAGAACGTAACGTCCTGTGTCTAGTAAGACTACGAGAGTCACAATGTTCGTTTGTTCGTTTCTCAATCCGCTTGTCCTGGTGAGGGTCGCGGCAGCGGCAGCATGTTGAGTAGGGTGGTCCAGACCTCTCTTTCCCTGGCGATGGACTCTAACTCTTCCTGGGGAATTCCCAGGCATTCCCAGGCCAGCCGAGCGACATAGTCCCGCCAGCGTGTTCTGGGCCGGCCCCGGGGGTCTTCACCCAGTCACAATGTTTTTATTTATTATTACCATCTCGTTATTTCCATCATCGTTAGCAATCATTTGGACATAAGTTGCGTAGATTGCAAATAATCTTTCTCACACACGCACGATTTGATGCAAATATCAGGAGCATTAGAGCGGGGGTGGTTCATGGCGCAAACAGTTCACGTCTTGCCCTATGAACCTGGCGACCCGAGTTAAATTCCCGGTCACAGGTAACACTGCGAGTGATATTGGAATCAATCAGTCCTGGAGCCCCCCCTCCCCACCTGCTTTCGCTGACCTGCACTGACCAACATGGTGACGTATGGTCAATCGACATCCGTGTGTATTATAATGGTCTGAGGAGGTCTCTGTCCTCCGGCAGTATGACAAAGAACCATAACTTGTCATAAATTATCATGAGCTTAAGATGATATTTTAATTGACGGGTTGATGCATTTTTAAACACTTAACGCATGCCAGATTCTGTCTGTAAGTGAAGATGGTCTAGCGGGAGCACGTTTTCCAGTTGCAGAGGTTTGTGGTTCGAGCCCAGTGGCTGCCCTGGTTAATACTGCAGGTATACGAACCAAACTTTACGCCACTGCCTGCTTCACCGCGGATATCATAGATCGCATGACGTTTTACCAAAAACAGTAGAACGTTGAAAATATATTACAAATTACGTAATCGGGTCAAGCCGTCCCCAGAAATGAAGCTATTTCATACTCTACCCATCTGTGAAACATAGTACCTTCGTGATAGCCTCATGCCACAGCAACGGCCCACATTCGAATTGTACGGTCGATCAGATGTGCTCCTGTGACGCTGTGAGTTTCGCTCGTTCCGCGCTGATGCCCCTCAAATCCGTGTTTGCAGCGGACACGGGGGCTGAGGGAGAAGCTGGCGGAGCTGGAGACGTTTCGGGACATCCTGTGCCGCCAGGTGGAGACGCTGCAGAAGTATTTTGACGCCTGCGCCGACTCCAGCAGCCGCGACGCCCTGCACCGTGATTGTGGTGAAGTGCTCAGGCAGAGAGCGTTGTCCCTCCTGCCCTCTTGTCTCTCTCTCTGTTATCACTAGGAGGAAGCCAAGCTGGCTGTCTGTTTTGCAAACCTCAGATGGCTCGAAACGTATTATATACATCCAGTGTTTTAAAAGAGCTGCAACTCTGTCATTGTTCCTCTCAGAAGGCGCCCGTGAGAACGTCCGGCGAGGAGATTAAGTGATGAAACCAGCTTGTGTGTAGGTACTAGGTGGATTATTACGTAGCCGGATTGTGGTATATGGTGTTTAGCTTGGGGAAGACCTCATCCAGCAGCGGATTGTTTATGGCTAATCTGTAATTATGTGAAAGGGATAGCTCTATATTTGTATTGGCCCTTGCCCTTCTATTAGGTGTTGACCCTGGACATGTGGTCATTCACTTAATTAAGTGTTCACTCAGTGGGGGATTGCTCATTCTCTTTTGTTACCCCCACAGGCTTGATCCCCCTTCCCCTATCCATCTGTACTGTCATCTCCCTGCCCTTGTTCACGTCCAGCCTCAAGAACTTCCATTTTTCCCCTCTTCCTATGACTAACTGCCTCTTTCTACAAAATAATATGCATGCTGCTTACGTGTATCATCTTGAGATGTGGTTGCATTCAGATGTAACTTGGGCGTAAAAAATATATCTACATAGTATCGTATTGTAAAAAAGGGATCATGCTCATTTCTTTGCAGCTGTGGGCGATGATGATGATATTCTACATGGGCCAGGTGTGAACGGACCCCACCTCCTGAATGGCAACAGCGGGCACAAGGAGAAACGTGAGAGTGAGTGCCTTGTTTGTTTGCTAACGCAGCAGCCAGCCAACTTGGGCGATCCGCCTCTTTGTCTGCTAGGACATGCACCTGTCGGCAAAACCATTGTCGCGTGCAAAGGTGTGCACTCTCGAATTGTCAAGCCGGTGTCGCATATAAATGTCATTTATCCTGGAAAGACTGAAGGTTACATTTTCAGGAGGGTCCTGCATTGGGATGTTTGGCCAGTTATGTTGGTCGAAACCGAAACACCCAAACAACACCCGCCGTGCGTAATAACCTTTGTGTATGAGAGTCACACAAATACAAAGCATCCACAAACCCTTGCTTTCAAAGTTCCAGTTTATAGGTGTGCCCCACCACGCCCACCATCGAGGTTCAGTCAGGAGAATAGGCTCTTGGCATTAGCTTAGTATTTCAGCTGTTCAACCTGTAGTCGGTACAGTAGCATTTGGGATCAAACGGAATGACTATTTCATAGTTCTCTGAACAAAGCTTGAAAGAATAAATTATATTGAGACAGTTCTAGTTTAATTTGTAAGTTAATGTTGCAGTGTGCGCATGTTCTTCACCCTAAAGGTACTTTGAAATGTCATGGTGATCTTTACGCATGCTGTGAACTTTTACACGTCGGCACACTCTCACAGAAACTTCACATTTCCAATTCTGCTCCAAATAAAGTAAATTTACTCTTATATTTTACAAACGTAATCATTTCATTGTGTCCTTTTAAATAGACACGCACCCTGTCTGATGCGTTTCGAGTCGTACCACGTATTGTTAGGCATGATGTCCGATGTTTCGCTCTTCGTGCTGGGAGCTTTTTCAGGAACTGAATTTGAGCAGAAGCTCTCCCAGCACACGGAGTAGAATGTCAGAACATCGTTCCGAACAACGAACAGTAGAATCTGAAATTACTCGAGAGAGCTGTGCAGCACAACGACGAAAACCTGCGGTCGCGTTATTAACACGGCCCCTTCCACCGCTGTCACAACGTCCCCTTTGCCGCGCCGTCCAGTGTGCTTTACGGGCCCCGGCGGCCGCGTCAATGGCCTGGACTTCAAGGGCGAGGCCATCACATTCAAAGCGACAACGGCGGGGATCCTGGCCACCCTGTCCCACTGCGTGGAGCTCATGAGCAAGTGCGACGAGAGCTGGCAGAAGCGGCTCGACCGGGTGGGTCTGATGCCACACTCTGCATTGCCCGTCCGAGTAATATGACGGTGTAGATTTTCGCAGGTCGTGTTGTATGGCTCTCCGATGTGTTTTCGGGATGTACCGTGCGTTGTTCGACGTGACGTCCAATGATTCTTGCCACGTGCTGAGAGAGCTTCAGCGACTAAATTGAACCTGCTCACTGTCCCCCTTGATTATAAAAGAGCAGCAGCAGGCAACCCTACACAATTGAGGGAGAAATGAGCCGCTCAGTTTAGTTTCCTAAAGAAATTCAGAGTGTGAAAATAAATGTCGGGCATCATGCCGAACAGGACGCGGTACCAGAAAATACATCGGAGGGCTAGCCGCCTGAGTTGTGAGGTTGTGTTTCGCTTGTTATTTGGAGGGCAGTTTGCACAAGTTGGTTGGTGAGAATGTGCATGCCATTGCGTGCATCATAACTTGGCCCCAGGGGGTTCCCATGTGCTGAAATTTTGAGTGTAATTTTGTTAAATGGGCCGTGGTTTCCTTTACATGTTGCTGGAAAAGCATCCATGCTGAGGCTTGTTCCACCAGCAGGCAGGAAAACTGATTTATTCTTCACAATTATGCTTTCTTTATGACCAGATGGGAGACTTTGGTAAGTTATACAAGCAACAGAATCGTTAACATTTGAGAAGGTAATGAACTTTGCAAGTTAATAAATGCCTCCCCTTGCTTATCACATTACAGGCTCTTAAAAGTTCACTTTTGAACATGCTGCATTGGAGGGATGCTGCCGTGGTGTATTAGCACACTGGTCTTACAATCCAGAGGTCGGAGATTCCACGCCATCTTGACAATTGGCAAGTTTCTTCAATCGTCCTGCCTCTGTCCACCCAGAATTGTAATCAACTGGTAGGTCGTGTACGGTGGGGCCAAGTTTGGGTCCTCCCACCTGTCTCAAAATGTCTGGCCAGTGTGGAGGTAATTATCCTTTAGAGGGGCTCCCCAAAACTCTCTCAAATAGAGGTCCATCAGTCAGCTGTAGCACGAGCAAGCAATTACAAAACCACATTGTTACGCGGTGGCTGTGACAGGAATTGAACCTCCTGGGTCCATGATTAATGGCACAGTGGTGAGCGGGTGTCTTCCCCTGACTGGTCACCGTGTCCCAACAGGAGGTGGAGAAGAGGCGGCGGGCGGAAGAGGCTTACAGGAACACCTTGGAGGAGCTCAAGAAGAAATCCTACTTCAATGGACCCGATTACGAGGTCTGTTAATTGCTTAGGGTCTGGTCATTTGTGTCGATTGAGCCGTCTTACCGATTACAGTTAAAGGAACTGAATGGTGGGACTGGAATGAGCGCGGTTTTTGGGCATGTCACAAGAGGAGCTGACAAGTATCTTTGTGAAACCACACACTTGATATTCCCTTTATTGTCCGTCATGAGATTTGCTCTTGAAATCGGGCCAGCATCCCCACCAGGTTATTATATTGAGACTTTTCTATTCAGAACATTCACAGTGAGCAAGTCAGAAACTGGTCCACAGATTTTCTGCGCAAAAGTACTCCTGAAGTCAGTTATTCAATTAAATTCAACTTCATGTTTAATAGAGCCTCATGATAATTACCATCTCAGTGCACTTCACAAGGTGACGATTATCCAACATTATAGTACAACTAGTAGTAAGGTTACAGGAAAATTTGTATATATCCAAACAAGGGGCGCATCATTTATATGCTCTGTAAAGTGTATACATTACATCTCAATCAAACCAACATGTTTAATTGTTATGGCTGAAATAACCCAAATTAATTCGCAAACCAGGTTAAATTTGATTGTTTTTTTGTGCAGTCTTCATTTTCTGGACTAATCTTTTACACTATAGAACGCAGTTTAAAATCACGGGCAGGCTGGAACCTGGATTCAAATCCAGTATCTCAGCGATTAGAGTTCAGCATCTCTGATAATGTATTATCCCCCTAATACCACCCAGCCACGTCGTCAAGTCAGTCTCAGGGTTGCCCTCTCATGCTAAAGTCCGGAGCTAAGTCGAGGTGCCCAGGATGTGCGTGCTCAGTCACATCGCCAGCAGTAAAATCCCACACGAGTTTTACTGGTTGCCTGCTGTAATACGTTTTAGTGGAAGATAAAATTCCACTGCAGGTATGGTACAGTGTGTTCTAGAAATTCCGGGCATGTATGTATGTATGTTGAATTTCTTTCGCACTGTATGTAGCCATCCGTGCGAATCGGAGGTGCGGGGGAAGGACAATAAACTAAACACGACAATCGATTCTAAAGAAATGAGTTTTCAATCTAGATTTAAAAGTGCATAGCTCCAGTGGCTTCCTAATATCGGAAGGAAGAGCGTTCCAGACGTCCACAGAAGCGCATTTGAAAGCGTACAATGCAGTGACCACTGTCTGTTCGATGTTTAGCCAAAAAAATGTTAGTTGGTGTGGTACCCCTGGTATATCCATTTTTTTCGAAATAATAATTTACATGCAGGTTTTTTTCTCCAATGTACTGCTTGTAATGCTATTTATATTGCGTGTAACAAAAAAAATGAGAGCACTATAAAAGAGAGGTAAAAAAACAACTGAAATCACCAAAAATCACAATCCAATTCTGGAAGGCACCAATCCACTTATACAGTGGTTACTACACGGTTCAATACGACAGTGAAACTGCCTGGTGCATGATATTTCTAAACAGCGTGGAAACGCAGCTAACAGCAAGTTGGAATTTCTTTGCACGCTTGTTACATTTTTTTATGTTCAGGAGTGTGACTTTAAAATTTTCCCTGCTTAAATAATGTTTTTTTTTAAATACACAACGTTGTCGTTTATGTAAGTTTTACATCTTACAATCGCTGGGGAACCACAGGGAAGATGGAAGGCAGCCAGGTGGTGTGCCATTGCCAACAATTAAAACTTTAAAAAAGCTTTTTTATTGTACCATGTAAGGCCCACTGAGCTCTGTAGGTTTTTAAAAAAATATATATATAAGCGACCTGGCCACAAATGATAGCTCAACGAAGTGGCTTATCATGTGGAAATTTATAGCAGCCAAATACTCTAAACACATGTTTCTAAACGTGGTGGGAAAAACCTGAAGACCTGGAGAAAAATCCATGCGACCATGGGGACAACATGGAAACTCCAAATACACAACAGGCATCATGGTTGGGATTGACCCCTTGACCTGTATACCAGGCAAGGCGGTTAACATCTCGCACCGTGGTAGTTAACATCTCACCACCGTGGCGCCCGGGCTCTGCAGTCCTCTGAATTAAAAATGTTTGTGGCCAATAAATGAGTGTTTGTTTATACATGTGGGAGAAATCCAGAAAACCCACACGTGCGAGGGGACAACACATTATCCTACACGGATGGGACAGATGATATTAGTCTGCACTTTGCTCTACTATCTTCTCCTAGAAGGCCCAGGATATGGCACCTCGACGCCAACCGGATGGGGAATCCATTAACCTTCACCTCCACCATGCTGGATTGCAGGCATGCGCCACCACCGACCGGGCTAGATTATTTGGGGGGGGTCCCTCAAAAAAAGCCCCATTATATTCCGGGACGCGGTACATATGCCAGTGTTTCTTTGGGGATAAGCTCGTTCAATGAATTCACGCAATGCTTATATATAGCCTCAACAAAAGTGCCAAGCGAGAAGTGTTGTTGAGTTGCTTTTACAGTTAAGGAAGAAAATGGAACATAAACACAAAAAAATGCCCAAAGAATCTTGCAGAGAGAGAGATTCATACTAGGATTTACGTTGAAAGACAGAAAGAGGAATGCACATTTGAAAAAAAATCCCTGTTAAAGACAATTCTATTTTTAACTGTAAAGAAAAATAAGTGTACAGATAGTCCCCGAGTTACGATGGTCCGACTTACGATATTTGGATCTTACCATGGCGATAGCGATACGACAAAATTGTAAAATATTTTTAATTTCGCGCAGCTGGCAAACGCAGCAGCGTACGAGGTACGATACTGTACGTTGGGACGCTGCCGGGATGTACGCATCTCTCGCCTTTCTATTAAATTGCAGTTCATATAGGTAGGCTAAGAATTTACCTTGTTTTTTTTACTTTACATTTTACTGTGCAATAGAGTATTTTAATGAATAAATACATACAGTATATAGTTTATACAGTACGGTACTGTAAATTGCTCTGTTTTGCTAAATTATCACCATTCTTTAAGACTCCTGGGTAGGCTAGGCCATCTTCGACTTACGATATTTTTGACTCACGATGGGGTCGTCGTAACGCATCTCCATCGTAAGTAGAGGACTACCTGTATTTGGGCAGGACATGCTACTCGGAGGGATAATGGCCAATGGTCTAGAATGAATGGAATGCGTCCCAAATATATCTAAAACGAATGTACTCGGTGGGTAGGTACGAGGTGGTTTATTAAAACTCAAGATGATGAGATATGCCTGGGGAGACTTTCATCCAGAAATGTATTGATCATGGCTGGTGATTTTGTTTAATCAGTTAAGCATAGGCCCAAAATACCAAGTAGCAAGCAACAACAAACACCATTAAAGGTATAATACGTAAGAGTTAATACATTTCTTGAATTGGGAAAAAACACTATGGGGAGGGTATTTCAAAGTCAAGCAGAGGAGGAGCAAAACGGATGTGATAAAGATGAACTGTTGAAGAGTTTAAATGCAGTGCGAAGTGAAATGTTTCGCGTTCGGTTTTGGCACCAAGCCACGGTCCTCCATCAGCATGCGGAGTGGAATTTGTGTGCGGCTTGGGCATGCCAGCGTGGCCTCGAGGAAGCACTCGTAGCGTAGGTCTTATTTGGGAGAAACTCAATTGACCTCGGTGCTAACGCATAATAAGTCGTTACAGCCCTGTGACATGTGTGTGTGTGTTTAGGTTATTATAGCAAGGTCTCAGTATGCGGTGGGGGGGGGGGGGGTGGGGTTAGGTTCCCTGTACCCCCCCCCCCCCCCCGTAAACATGAATTCGTATAATTTGGGGTTCACCTATACGAGTGTACAGTGAGGGAAAAAAGTATTTGATCAACTGCTGATTTTGTATGTTTGCACACTGACAAAGAAATGATCAGTCTATAATTGTAATGGTAGGTTTATTTGAACAGTGAGAGACAGAATAACAACAACAAAAATCCAGATAAACGCATGTCAAAAATGTTATGAATTGATTTGCATTTTAATGAGGGAAATAAGTATTTGACCCCCTCTCAATCAGAAAGATTTCTGGATCCCAGGTGTCTTTTATACAGGTAACGAGCTGAGATTAGGAGCACATTCTTAAAGGGAGTGCTCCTAATCTCAGCTTGTTACCTGTATAAAAGACACCTGTCCACAGAAGCAATCAATAAATCAGATTCCAAACTCTCCACCATGGCCAAGACCAAAGAGCTCTCCAAGGATGTCAGGGGCAAGATTGTAGACCTACACAAGTCTGGAATGGGCTACAAGACCATTGACAAGCAGCTTGGTGAGAAGGTGACAACAGTTTGTGCGATTATTCGCAAATGGAAGAAACACAAAGAACTGTCAATCTCCCTCGGCCTGGGGCTCCATGCAAAATCTCACCTCGTGGAGTTGCAGTGATCATGAGAACGGTGAGGAATCAGCCCAGAACTACACGGGAGGATCTTGTCAATGATCTCAAGGCAGCTGGGACCATTGTCACCAAGAAAACAATTGGTAACACACTACGCCGTGAAGGACTGAAATCCTGCAGCGCCCGCAAGGTCCCCCTGCTCAAGAAAGCACATATACATGCCCGTCTGAAGTTTGCCAATGAACATCTGAATGATTCATAGGACAACTGGGTGAAAGTGTTGTGGTCAGATGAGACCAAAATGGAGCTCTTTGGCATCAATTCAACTCGCCGTGTTTGGAGGAAGAGGAATGCTGCCTATGACACCCCAAGAACACCATCCCCACCGTCAAATATGGAGGTGGAAACATTATGCTTTGGGGGTGTTTTTCTGCTAAGGGGACAGGACAACTTCACCGCATCAAAGGGACGATGGACGGGGCCATGTACCGTCAAATCTTGGGTGAGAATCTCCTTCCCTCAGCCAGGGCAATGAAAATGGGTCGTGGATAGGTATTTCAGCATGAAAATGACCCAAAACACACGGCCAAGGCAACAAAGGAGTGGCTCAAGAAGAAGCACATTAAGGTCCTATAGTGGCCTAGCCAGTCTCCAGACCTTAATCCCATAGCAAATCTGTGGAGGGAGCTGAAGGTTCGAGTTGCCAAATGTCAGCCTCGAAACCATAATGACTTGGAGAAGATCTGCAAAGAGGAGTGGGACAAAATCCCTCCTGAGATGTGTGCAAACCTGGTGGCCAACTACAAGAAACGTCTGACCTCTGTGATTGCCAACAAGGGTTTTGCCACCAAGTACTAAGTCATGTTTTGCAGAGGGGTCAAATACTTATTTCCCTCATTAAAATGCAAATCAATTTATAAAATTTTTGACATGCGTTTTTCTGGATTTTGTTGTTATTCTGTCTCTCACTGTTCAAATAAACCTACCATTAAAATTATAGACTGATCATTTATTTGTCAGTGGGCAAACGTACAAGATCAGCAGTGGATCAAATACTTTTTTCCCTCACTGTATATACAATGTAAGAGTGGATATTAAATGTATATAAATGTTTAATAAAGTACAGTACTGTACAGTAAATTTTTCACTAATCATCGGTAGCATGCACGTCAGATAGAACACTAGATATTTTTGTGGACTCGTTTCTTGTGTGGACGATAGTTACACGCCGCCAAATACATATTCACGTGATAGTGGGGGGGTGATTTGATTCGCTTCCCGCCTGGTCGCGTATGAGCGGGTCCGCGTACTCTCAGACCTTATTGTACTGCGTGTTTTTCCGGCACGATATCTGACGGTTTATGCTTCATTTGCTGGAAGCTTCTTCAAGCCCAGGCTCTTGAGAACTGAATAATTTTCAGGAACCTTTTTTTAAGAAGAAGGTTCCTGAGGACCTTGAATTTGAAGAAGCTGCCGGCACGTGGAATGGAATGTCAGACGTCGTGACGAACAATATGTTGTGCAACCTGAAAACAAATCGGAACCATTCAGCGCAATTGCAAAAAGCTACGTGGTGGTGTAAAAACTCCTATCGCCAGAAATGAATTACAACAAATAGTGGTGACAGCGAGGGAAAACTGACCATTGACTTTCATGATTATAACTTGCACATGCCATGTCATGATTTACCACCCCAGCAAGCAGTTAGGTTGTGCGTACTCAGGGTAGCAATTCGAGTCCGCAGTATGTTCTCTTTCGTCGTGTTTTTTACCACGTTTGTAATTTTTTCCCCCTTTTCAGTCCTTGCGCGGTTTTGTTGGTACCATTAATCTAATTGTATCGCTATTGGCATAGCATTTGTATGGATTGTAAGTAATCCATTCTCAAGCATGTGATTCATTGCCAGCATCATGAGCTTACGATTCAATTTTAATCATCTGAATCGACACATCGCTGCATGCTTAACCTGCCCTTACATTCCTGCACCGTCATCAGTAGTAAAGTTAGCGATAGTAAGGTTTAAAACAGAAAATATTAGAAATCCATAAATCTACCAAAAGCCAAGAGTTATTGCCAAAGAATGTTCCTTTGACATTTTAGCGAGTTATACTACAATACAGCGTTTGTGTTGCTAATGGGAATATTTGAAAGAAGCAGTGTACATTCAGCAATAGGGGTGCTGTGGCTGGATAATAAATCATATTTAGAAGAGGGTGCGGGTGAAGGCAAGAAGAGAACACACAACTTGCCCAGGGCAGATCTATTAAGGAGAGGAGCCGCACCCTCCATGCATGCTCACTCCATAAGAGCCAGAAAGCACAGCACGTACAAGCGATTTGTTCCTTGCTCCAGTATAAAAAAAATAGGGGGGGTGGATAGCCAGCACTGCTCTGTTTTTACCGCACGTACTTCTGTGCTGTCGTTTCAGTGTTTCGCGCCTTCACTAACCTGCACTGACCAGTGTCATGAAATATGGTCAAATCGCCCCTATGATCTGCATGGCATGGGGAGTCCCTCATCTAGCAGTGGATTGGCAAAAGGGCTGTCTGTACGTGTTTAATGTGCAATTTAATGCATTATCGTGACCTCAACCTAGTCCTATCCACGTATAAATTGTACATAAATGTTAATGTTACATTTAATCGTATGCTTTTTTTTTTTACTTTGCCTCACAAGAGGTGTTTCATTTGAACCTTATGGCAGGACCCCGGGGTCCCATAAGCCCCCGGCTCTCGCATAAACTGCGTTGCGACGTAATTTTATGTTTGTTGAAGGCGAACGATATGGAAATCCTCTCGACGAGCTCTACACGATGCGCTAATCAAAGTTTTGTTTATGACTACGGCATTCGTCGTTGCTGCTGTGCTTGGATGACATGACAGCAGAATGATCCGCGCCAGGTGGGTCGCGGCGTCTATGTGCGCGGTGGGACGGAGTCGCCAAAAATAAAATAATTAATTACGGTGTTGACTTCCGTTTATTTGGGACACTGGGGTCCCACCATAATGTTCATTTTAAGAAATGCACTGCTCGAGTTTGAAGTCATGTGGTGGCACAGGCCTGTAATCCAGTGCTTTCGAAGCAAGAGTTTGTAGTTGACGTATATTTATAAGAATCTCAAATCTGTTGCATTGTGGTGTGGCCAAGATATTCCAGCACAGTATGTGTTGTGAACCCATCTGTGCGGACCTTGTCAGCGTCATCACCTGGTACACGTGGGTTTCCTCTGACTTCTCTGGATTTCTTTGCCTGTGAAAAACACTCCTTCATGAAACTGGCAAAAAACATCCCAATGCAAGGACCCTTCCTAAAGAGTCTTAAGACTGAATGGCACTATCCTGGATAAGGGCAAGCAACAAAGTATCAATCTTGTGCTTGCTGTCTTGCTCTTTGGGCCTGATAGTTGGATGCTTAGAGGGCCATCGTTTTTTTAATACTTTTTTTTATCGTCATTCAAGAACCCAGAATACAGTGTTTCAAAAGGAGGGCAAAAATAACAGGTAACAAGCTAGACGTACTGAACTCCTTTGTTACCATGGGATGAGTGTGTCCAATCTAAAGGCTACTGCAGAAGACTTAAGAAGAGGCTTGCTACCTTCACAATACAAGAACACCAAATATGGCACTTTGGGCACGTGGCTCGATGCTTCCCCTTGGTCGAGCATGCCCACAAGGTTCTCTGGACTAGAGAACCTCATGTCTGGAGGGGAATGAGGCCGTAGGGCCGGCCACAGGACTCGTAGCTTCATCAGCGCTGTCCTACCAGACAGTCTCGCCCCCTTCACCTGATGAAGGCCGCTTGTGTTGTGGCCGAAACGTCGTGAGAATATTATTGTGTTATTTTATTTTATCAATTTATTATTTTATTATCATTCTACGTGACTTTACCGAAAGAACCAAAGAAGATGGACTGCTACTGTCGAGCACTCGGGGATAGGAAAGTAGGAAAGGAGCTCGCCTTGGGGGCTTAGGGTCAGGAGTAATCACCCCCCTCAAGGATGAAGACTCACTGGGTGCCACGGTGGCGATACGTTAACTACCTTGTCTGGTATACAGGAGGTTGTAGGTCTGATCCCGACCCTGACGCCTGTAAATTTGGAGATTGCATGTTCTCCCTGTGGTCGCATGGATTTGTCTCTGGGTCTTCCGATTTGTCCCTCAACATTTAGAATCAACATGCGTTTAGAGTAACTGGTAGCTATAAATATCCACATGTTGCTTGTGGCCAGATCGCCTCTGAAAAAAAGCTATAGAGCTTAGTAGGCCTTACCTGGTAAACTAAAATAAAACATTTAATTTGTTTATAGTTTACTTGAGTGTTTTCCAGGAGTGACCATAGGGGTTGGCTCATGAATATGAATGCTGCTACGTGCCGTCTCGACGCATAAAATACTTTGGATGCCCAGATTGAATTCCTCTGAACTGCCACCTCTCCTCCCGCTGTGGTGTTGTGTGTCATGCAGGAAGGGCCCAACAGCATCATTAAGGACGATGAGTTTTTTGACGCAGTGGAGGCTGCCCTGGATAGGCAAGACAAAATCGAGGAACAGGTACCAGTGGACAGTGCGCACCATACGCTGCACGTATACGCGCGTCCCTTTTGTCAATCCACTGCTGGATGGTGAGCCTTCCAACGCCGTGCGGGTTGCAGGCGTTGTGTGACCGGGTGCCTCACCACGCTGGTCATTTTGTGGTACTGAAGCCCGTTAACATAGACGTGGGATCATATAAGTGCTGTACAACGGTTGATTTTGTTGCGCTACACTCTTGCTGACAACAGTGCAGCCTTTTAGCAGCCTCGAACGGCAGTTTTGTGTGGTGGGCACCCGTCTGAGTACTATCCAGCCTGACGGGATAAGGCGCATTAGGGTGATTTTTTACAAAGGCATGTAGACTACACGTATGGGTATTCATCATTTAAAGTTGTTTTGCTCACAATACAAACATGGAATAATGCATGTCGTGTAATAATAAGAGTTAGGAAAACTACAAGCAAATGTTACAGTGAGGGGAAAAAAGTATTTGATCCCCTGCTGATTTTGTACGTTTGCCCACTGACAAAGAAATGATCAGTCTATAATTTTAAAGGTAGGTTTATTTGAACAGTGAGAGACAAAATAACAACAAAAAAACCCAGAAAAAAACGCATGTCAAAAATGTTATAAATTGATTTGCATTTTAATGAGGGAAATAAGTATTTGACCCCTCTGCAAAACATGACTTAGTACTTTGTGGCAAAACCCTTGGCAATCACAGAGGTCAGACGTTTCTTGTAGTTGGCCACCAGGTTTGCACACATCTCAGGAAGGATTTTGTCCCACTCCTCTTTGCAGATCTTCTCTAAGTCATTAAGGTTTCGAGGCTGACGTTTGGCAACTCGAACCTTCAGCTCCCTTCACAGATATTCTGTGGGATTAAGGTCTGGAGACTGGCTAGGCCACTCCAGGACCTTAATGTGCTTCTTCTTGAGCCACTCCTTTGTTGCCTTGGCCATGTGTTTTGGGTCATTATCATGCTGGAATACCCATCCACGACCCATTTTCAATGTCCTGGCTGAGGGAAGGAGGTTCTCACCCAAGATTTGACGGTACATGGCCCCGTCCATCGTCCCTTTGGTGCGGTAAAGTTGTCCTGTCCCCTTAGCAGAAAAAACACCCCCAAAGCATAATGTTTCCACCTCCATGTTTGACGGTGGGGCTGGTGTTCTTGGGGTCATAGGCAGCATTCCTCTTCCTCCAAACACGGCGAGTTGAGTTGATGCCAAAGAGCTCCATTTTGGTTTCATCTGACCACAACACTTTCACCCAGTTGTCCTCTGAATCATTCTGATTTTCATTGGCAAACTTCAGATGGGCATGTATACGTGCTTTCTTGAGCAGGGGGACCTTGCGGGCGCTGCAGGATTTCAGTCCTTCACGGCGTAGTGTGTTACCAATTGTTTTCTTGGTGACAATGGTCCCAGTTGCCTTGAGATCATTGACAAGATCTTCCCGTGTAGTTCTGGGCTGATTCCTCACCGTTCTCATGATCACTGCAACTCCACGAGGTGAGATCTTGCATGGAGCCCCAGGCCGAGGGAGATTGACAGTTATTTTATGGTTCTTCCATTTTCGAATAATCGCACCGACTGTTGTCACATTCTCACCAAGCTGCTTGGCAATGGTCTTGTAGCCCATTCCAGCCTTGTGTAGGTCTACAATCTTGTCCCTGACATCCTTGGAGGGCTCTTTGGTCTTGGCCATGGTGGAGAGTTTGGAATCTGATTGATTGATTGCTTCTGTGGACAGGTGTCTTTTATACAGGTAACAAGCTGAGATTAGGAGCACTCCCTTTAAGAGTGTGCTCCTAATCTCAGCTCGTTACCTGTATAAAAGACACCTGGGAGCCAGAAATTGTTCTCATTGAGAGGGGGTCAAATACTTATTTCCATCATTAAAATGCAAATAAATTTATAACATTTTTGACATGCGTTTTTTCTGGATTTTCTTGTGGTTATTCTGTCTCTCACTGTTCAAATAAACCTACCATTAAATTATAGACTAATAATTTCTTTGTCAGTGGGCAAACGTAAAAAATCAGCAGAGGGTCAAATACTTTTTTCCCTCACTGTATAGTCGGACAACCCCCGTGACCGACACGGCATGGGGGAGGCCTTCATCCAGCAGCGGATCGATGTAGGGCTCCGTAAACATTCTTCTCTGCGTATGTTGAATTGTTGTCATAGGCTTTAAGGCTCACAAGGTACGGTGTTGTTGTGTTGTAATGTTTTTAGTACCAAGTGGAGAGATCGCGGACTCAACCACTGTCATCAGTGAGTTCCACGGAGTTGTTCACGACAACTGGCCAACATCGTTACACACAACAGGTAACGATGCTCCTGTCGGTCTCCTTCCAACTACTCTTTAGTACAGGGACTCCTCTACTTACGAACATTTGATTTAGGAACTTTCAGAGATACGAACAAATCTGTCCAGTTGCCTGTTCAGACCGAGAGTCGTAAGTTCAACCGCCGCGCAATAGATGGCGGTGGTGGCATCTACATCTGCAGAACTTGAAGGACCAGTGGCATATACTTCTACAGGAGATTATACTACCTTTAAAGACATTCACCGTGTTTTGTGTACACGTCGTACAACACGTTTGGAATCGACGGGGGCAAAGTTGGACTTGCGAACAAATCAACTTACGAACCTAATTCGTTCGTAAGGAGAGGAGTCCCTGTATCAAAATGGAGCTGCTTGATTAACTTAGCGTACACTTGACGTAGTTGGAAGTGGACGAGTGGCTCACGGGTCAGACCAGGGAGCTGACACCGCTGATACGTGGGTTTGAATCTACGTTACGGCGGCCACTCGTGATTAAACCAGACTCTCAAATACAGCAATTTGATTGTCTTGGCCCGGTAGGTAGAGACCCATGGACTTTATAATATAGACACCGATGTACTCATGTTAAGATCAATAGACTTACATAGAGAACCATAGACCTACATAAAAACCAATATAACCTATGTAGAGATGCAAAAATATACATAGAAACCCATATAGTCATATAGACCAAGTTGTAATTAACCTGGGTTGCCAAGGGTAGCAAGTTTGTATTAAAAATGTTTAGCATAATTTGACTGCATCTCGGAACGTATGAAAGTGTTGGTTTGACTTCCATGCACCAAAATGCTTCTCTGTCGGAGTGTGCTACGTAGGAGCGTGCACTTTTGCTCGCGTGTGGATAAATAGGTCACTTGAAGGGATTTCAGAAGTAGTTCTGTGGAATCCGATGTTACGTTTTGTTCTGTAAGACATGGCGAGAGTTCGCGGTGGAAATTTTGCCCCGTAACTTGACGCCAACAGCGCAGTTGGATTACGGAGTGTGGGGGACCTCCTGGTGTAGTGTGACTTGCAACTTGATCAAGTATAAAAAGGTTTTGTTTGTGCAGGAAATTTGCCTTTTCGCAAATTATTGCACAAAAGTCCAACCGTAGAGTTGGATTTGGACTGAATTGTACTGCACTTGGCAATGAGAGTAAGCATTTCTACAAAGCATCTGCTACGTAGGTCAATTGTGATATCTTGCCTGAAGTCGGGTTAGAAAATCAATCAGTTAATCATCACCATCATCAGCTATCCACTGCCAGATGAAGGCCTTCTGAATTTATTACTATCCTTCACAGTCTCGTGATGGTATATTTTAGCAGAGCAGTTGTAAATTACTTCATTATTAGAGACGGGCCCAGGCATGGTGAACATACGTATGCAGCCATTACGTGAACGCTTTCGACCTCAGTTGGAAAGAGTGAAGTATGCATCTGATCGACGACGCACACGCAATGCGAGCAAACGCATTGTTCAGCAGATATGTCTCCAGGCACGATTTAACAATAGATGCCGAATCTGCAGACGTTACCGAAGGTGGTAAGGACATCCAAAGGTTAGGAGCGCGTATTGTGAAAAGGTTCTGTTGCCCTTAATGCACCTTACGCTACCGGCGAACAGACCTATTGTACGAACGCTTTTAACCTCAAACCGGAATGTGTTTAAAAAAAGAAAACAATTGACGTGGCGTTGACGTGGCGGCGGCGTCGGCGCTGGCAGGTGGAGGAGGTGATCCAGAGACACATGCAGTACTCCCTGCAGGACGTGGGCGGCGACGCGAACTGGCAGCTGCTGGTGGAGGAAGGGGAGATGAAGGTGCCTGCACGTTGCTCTCTGTTTGTGCCGCGTTACAGTCGCAATGTAAAGTCACAAGGCTTGGCTACGATGACAATTACAACCTGCCCCCCCCCCATCCTCATCGTGCAAAATAGGCAACATGATGGGTACTGCTTTTTGAAAGCTACGGCTAAAGCGGGCTCTGGGTTAGTAGTGTTGTACTCAAATGAGTGCGGGGTGTGGGGGGGAGTGGTAGTGTAGCGGTTAGCGCTACGCTGTGCTAAGAACCCAGCAACCTGAGTTCGATTCTCACTCACGGCCAACACCAGTGACGATTATCTGAACCGGTTCTGGGCCTCTCCTAAGTCGACTCAGCCTTAAATGAGTAACTGATGCGATGTGTAAACATTGCCACTGGGGAGACAAAGGCAGCCGGGGGTGGTGTTGGCCACCCACCCCCTCGAGTGCCGTGCCGACCTTTATAGGTGCTGGCTAACAGCACTTGCCCCAACAGTCTGTTACAGGCTATATGGGGCATCTTTGTCTTTGTACTCAAATGAGTACGTGGTGCGATGTGTAAACATCGCCGCTGGGGAAGATGAAGGTGGTCGGGTGTGGTGTTGGCCAGCTTTACCCCCCTTTTGTGTCATACAGGCCTTCATAGGTGCTACTCGTTAACAGCGCTTGCCCCCAAAAAGTCTGTAAAGACTATACGGGGTCGGGGGGTGGGGGTCATTTTCTCGTAGTACTAACTATACTTTAAGGCAGCTGAGCCTGTCAGATGCCAATGGCACACAACAGGGTAGTGGGGCCCTCAGTAATACAGGGTGCCTCAAAAAAATGTTAACACTTACATGGGACTATCGTTTTTAAAGGAACAAGAACGGATAATACACTGTAACGTGATAACAAATGTATGTTAATCGCTTCAAAAAGTCAAAGAGTCTCCACTTATTCGCCATCATTGTCAACACGTGGCCTGGAATCTTTCCCAGTTGGTCGCCAGGGCCCGGAGTCACATTTCTTGTGGTATTGTTGCAAATTCTCAGAAGTATAAAAAATATTTTGAAGCACCCTTTATATTGGTTACTCCAGGCAGACGAACCTCACGTAGGTCAATGCCATCGATAAACCTGTGCGGAAGGAGGGAGCTGCAACCTGGTGTATTGCTCCGGCCACCAGCCATCACTTCATGAGAACGATGAAAGCTTTGGCGCAAGAGGTATTGTGGCAGCAAACGGCTGTGGCCATAATGAAATCGTGATTTTGATCTTGGCTACGTAAAGCCAAGCGGCCATGAGGCTTTACGGAAGGCATGACTCCAAACACAAGCGGTTTGATACTTGTGATATAGGAATCTAGGGCTGGGGAAGGGACTTGCACTGTTCTGCGATAGATCTGAATGGATTCTTTGTCACGTGGCACCGATAGTACAATTGGGATAGCATCAGGGGAGGGGAAATGTTTTTTTGTTTATTTAAGAACAGAAGTGATGCTACAGTGATGTCAAACATTTCTGTGATTTAAAAAATATATCAAATAAGCTTTACAAACCTGTCGGACAGCCCGTACAATAAAACCGAGTTGCCTATCGATGAAGAGCTAATGTATCTGTTGGGTTGCATCTGGACATCTGTGTCCTACTGCACTTGTGTGAGAAAAAGAGCTTCCTCTGGCGTAAAGGAATATTCTGGTTTCTGATCTCCTGTTAAAGTTGTTGTGACGCTCGTGTGCGGCCAGGTGTACCGCCGCGAAGAGGAGGAGAACGGCGTGGTGCTGGATCCACTGAAGGCGACGCACTGCGTGCGCGGCGTGACGGGCCGCGAGGTGTGCCACTACTTCTGGGACGTCGAGTACCGCAACGACTGGGAGAGTAAGAGCCGCGAGTGGGCGGGCGAGCAGCCGAACGCTACGCCAAGCGTGGCCCAGCAGCAGCTGCAGCAGCGGCGGCAGCGCGCTTGCCCCTTGTTCCAGAGGTTAAACTAAAAAGCGAATTTTATTTTACCGGGAAGGCCCACTTGAGCCGTGTAGCTCTGTCAGAAGCGACTTGGCTATCACGAATGATAGCTCAACGAATACTCTTAAACGCAGTGATGTTGATTCCTATATGTGGAGGGAAAAACGGAGGACCCGGAGAGCCCAGCAGCTGAACTGGTTCATACTGCCGGTGCATAAACCATAGTTCATACTTCCAGGTGCATAAACCATTAAATACACACCGTGTGTTCCCAAACAAGTCACTTACTTAAAGATCCAACAGTGGAACTCCCCAACTTAACTGCACGTAGGAATTGCAGCTACCTCCTCCATAGGTGGGAAATTAAGGATTCGATAATTGTCACTGTGGTGAACTGTAATCCGTCATTCACATTGTGTTGTATAGTGTGGGTCACTGCGAGTCTATGGGTCTCTATGTGGGTATACGGGTCTCTTACGAGTCTGTGGGTCTCTGTTCGAGTCTATACCAGTCAAATTGTGACTGTGGTGAAGTGGAATCCCTCCCTCGCGTCACTGATCATGGCCCAAAGCACGCCTTTGCAGGAGGTTCAAATTTGGTACATCTGGTTAGCCCAGACATCAACAAATAGCCTCTCCAAACTCAACGTATACGGTTTTAAAGTCGTCCGTTGCTTAATAAATGCCATACGAAAGGAGAAAGCAGACTTTTGCAGATTCTTAAAAAAATTGTTAGAGAACTTATTAAGTTGTAACTGTATTAGAAAAGCAACATGTTACATTGAATGCACGCATCCTTATTTGTCCAACACTTGCCTTGTCTACCAGTAATTATGCTTGCTTTCCATTTACCTCTTTGCTACGGTTGAATTTAAACGAGCAATAGCATCTAGATTTGAAGTGTTCGTGACTGCAAGGATCCGTACTCGTTGGTTTTTTCGGTAAAGTCACTGTAGGTAAAAGATAAAATAAAATTAAAAGAAAAAATAACTACATTTAGTTATTATTATTTGTTTTCAATTTATTTTATTTTATCTTTTACCTACGTGACTTTACCGAAAAAAACCCCGAGCCCTCAATACTCTGATGGTGCGCTGTTTTTGTGTTGTACACCTTTTGGCGTCTTCTGGTCCAACACCAGTGGAGACTAGGCTCTAAGAAAAGCCGTTTCGGGTGTGGACCAATCAAATTCAAGGACAGTGCATATTATTATCAGAGTTGTCTCTTTTGTTTGCATTTTGGCTGCTTGTGTTGTTGTTGTTATTGCAAACATGATGCCTTGAATAAAGGTGTCAGTTTTTGTGCCAGTTAAAAGGGTAAAACCTATTACTATATCTTGTTACTGGCAAAAGGAGGTCTCATAATGTAAATGCTCACCCCGAGCCCTCAATACTCTGATAGTGCGCTGTTTTTGAGTTGTACGCCTTTTGGCGTCTTCTGGTCCAACACCAGTGGAGATTAGGCTCTAAGAAAAGCCGTCTCGGGTGTGGACCAATCAATTTCAAGGACAGTGCATATTATTTTCAGAGTTGTCTCTTTTGCTTGCATTTTGACTGCTTGTGTTGTGGTTATTGCAAACATGATGCCTTGAATAAAGGTGTCAGTTTTTCTGCCAGTTAAAAGGGTAAAACCTATTACTAAAAGCCAAAGTGTAAGCAACAGCATCTTTCGAATTGTGGTTATTGTTTTGTCAACGTTCCAGTTTAATCGCTGAACGTTCTTTATTTTGCAGCAACCATCGAAGGCTTGAATGTTGTGGAAGTTCTGTCGGCGAACACACTGCTCGTCCACCAAACCCACAAGGTACTCGTTTGTAGAGTAATGGTACACACAGGATGATACCTTCTCAGATGCAGTAGAATTGATAACCACTGAAGAAAGTTTTCATAGCCAAAAGTTGAATTCAGATGATTAAATGTACCCAGAAATATTAGCAGCCCAATCAATCCTTGTTATCTTCTCTGAAACTATTCAACTTGTGCGATACAACAATGTCGTGGTTTCCGTATCGTTTTCCTAATTGGCCAAAGAAGGGTATTCCCATTCTTAGTCGACTCATCTTTTATCCTGGACACTTTTTTTTTAATTCAAACTTGTCACCATTAACGAGTAAACGTCTACCTTTGGTTAAAGCCGGATATAAGCACACCTTTAGTTAGCGCAAGGCAAGGTGTGCTTTTATCTGAAATCGTGTGCTGGTATGTTGCCCTTTTCCTTCCCAGCACCAGTGCAATGTAAGCGTGTACCTGTTGGATTATATAAAAACACTGTGTTTACGTAAAGGTCGCTTACGTGCAGCTTTTATTGTTTATGCTTGAGTAGTGTCTCCGCCGAAGTGTTGCCAAAACGCGAGTGCTCGTCGGCAAAAAAGTTTGCGCTCAGTTAAGGCTACTTTGATCGTGCACCTCCTGAAGTCTCACTTTCCACTGGCAGAGCTTGCCAAAACGTTGGGCCACAGCTCTCCTTCTCTCCCCACGTGAACTCTGGAGCACCACATACCTCCATCTGTGCGGCGTCAGAACTTACTCCCAACAGTGTGTAGACAATATGGGGGGGGATCTTTGTCTTTTGTGTGTAAGTATGCGAGCACATGTGAATGTGAGCGAGAATATTCATGTGTATACTGTGGATATATATTTCTGTGAGGAACTAAATGAGTGTCTTGGTGGAACTTAAACGTGCGCTTTCATGTGTTTCTGCGGCCATCTGGAACGCTCTTCCTTCTGATATTAGGAAGCCACTTGAGCTATGCACCTTTAAATCTAGATGGAAAATGTATGTCTTTAGAACCACTTTTTGTGTTTAGTTTGTTTTCCTTCTACTGCACCTCCGATTAGCACGGTTGGCTACGTACGGTGCGAAACACGTTCAACATAGATTCATAAAGTTAAGACATTTCACAGGAATTTTCTCATCTTGAATAACAGTCGCGTGCCGCTTTCGGACAAGCACAGGGAAGCGCAGTACACGGCAAGTGAACTCATGTCCTGTGCACCCCCCGTCCCCGTGCCGTCCACAGCGCGTGTGGCCGGCCTCTCAGCGCGACATCCTCTTCCTCTCGTGCCTCAAGAAGGTGCCGGTGCCGCCTGTGTCGTCTGCCGCCCCGCCCGGTTGCCGCGGCGGTGGCAACGATAACGACGGGGGCGTCGGCGCGCACGACACGTGGATCACGTGCAACTTCTCCATCGATCACCCCGCGGTGCCCGTGACGAACCAGGCAATCCGCGCCAAGATCAACGTCGCGATCATCTGTCAGACATTTGTGGACCCCGGGGCTCTGCCCGACGGCCACCTTCGGGAACACCTGCAGTGCCGGATCACCTACGTGGCCAACGGTAAAAGTGGTGGGGAGCATGCGCTGGGATCCAAAGAAAATGTAACGATTTTGGGTTTTTTGTGTGTGTGTGTGCAATCGTTGGTGCCCGGGCTGAAACGATTAACTCTCGAGACTCAAACCCAGGATCTCAGCAGTGCTGGCTCCGTGCGCCTCCATCGTATTTAGCCCCCTTAGCCACCTCACTGGTCTCCAGTGAGTTTGTGTCATTCTGCAGTGTTGCTGTTTTGCGGATGTGGTGTGCCGTGGCGTTGGAATGCGCTGTCGGCATTTACGAAGGTTAGCCACCTCCCCTGGCGACCGTGCCGGTCTCAAAATGAGTTGGATAACGACATTGCCATTGGAGTTGTCTAATTCTACATTGTTGCCATTTTGTGGATGTGGGTGGCACCGTGACGTTTGTGCAGACGTGACCGTGTCTTTGTGTGCGTGTGTGTGCGCGCGTGTCCGCTGTCCCACAGTGAACCCGGGGGGTTGGGCACCAGCATCGGTGATGCGTACAGTGGCGAGGCGCGAATACCCACGCTTCCTGCGGCGCTTCACCTCTTACGTGCAGGAGAGGACACGTGACAAGTCGGTCATGCTCTAGCCGGGTGAGTTGCATGCACATACAGCAGACAAAGACCCCCCGTATAGCCTTAACAGACTGTTGGGGCAAGTGCTGTTAGCGAGCACCTATGAAGGCTCACACGGCACCCGAGGGGGTGGATGGACAGCACCATGCTCGGCCGCCTTTGTCTCCTAGTGGCGACGTTTACACACCGCACCAGGTACTCATTTGAGGCTGAGTCGACCTAGAGGAGGACCAGGACCGGCTCAGATAATCGTCACCGGTGTTGGCTGTGAGCGGGAATCGAACACGGGCCGCCGGGTTTCGTAGCGCGGCGCGCTCACCATTGCACTACCGCTGCCCGTACGCAGACTCGTACACACGCGTACTTACGGCGAGACAACCTGAGGGGTGTATTGCTCTGCAGTTGCGTGGGTGGGAGGCTCCTTAATGCCACCACCAATCAGTTGCGCAGCGTGGCTGGCATGGGCCCTGGTGCAAGGAATTATACGGGGCCTTCCGTTCAATTTGCACCCTCTCTTCGTAGCTACCTCGGCGACTGGGCCCTCTCTCCGGTTCGTCAACACCGCTGCGAGTTATGTCACCTGCACACCCGATAGTTACGCGATTGCCGTCTCTGACATGTGTGACATATATACGACTTGGTGATCGCGAGGTTAATTAATATTTTAACCCTTCTATCGATTCTGTGAAGTAATGATTCAGTAGTCGTAATTCCAAAAAATGTTCTCTCTAATTCATCGTTTTGTTCGCTCCGATCACCTAAATATAACAGCAAGTCATTTGTATTCACTATGCATACATCCCAGTAAATGATCTTCGCCACACATGTCGATGCATGCATCACGAGCGTACTTTAACAAACTAATTGATGTATTGTTACATGTCTAATGATGATTTGGCACTGGCCATATATCAGAGCTGGGTTCAAATATGTCTGTGCCTCTACTCCAGTGCCTGAAATGCAGTCGCTGAGATTTTGTACGTTTAGCATTGTGCTTCCGTTCACGCTGCTCAGTTGAAGCGTCACGTTCCCGACAGCGATATCCATTACTTGGCGACCGTGAACAAATCCCTCTCTTTTACAACGCAGACCCGGGGTTAGTCATTGGATCTTGTGGTAATACATCAGGCAGGGACATCTGAACCATTTGTTTGGATTCCTGTGACAGCAGATGTCTTGTTTTTTTGTTCTCTTCCGCAGAAGCACCTGGCTATCGATGATACCCACTGCAGAGGTGAATGTGTTGGAAATTGGGGGGGGGGAAAAACATCCTTGTTTCTCTTTTAAATCTACTTACAGTATTTGCTGCTAAAGTATACAAATCTAACACTTGGGTTATTTGTATATATTTTTCGTATTTTCGAAAAGCCACTTTATAGATTCACTAAAGGGAGAAATGCCGAACAAGTTTCGTATTTACGCGTTTGCATTTTAGGCGAGCCGAGGCTGTGGCTGTTGCCGTGTACGTGTCCGCCGTGCTTGTGTTCGGCATGTGGAGGAGCGACTTGAGGATTTGCCATACTCGTTTTGATTGCACTGTTGGGAGCGGCAGCCCGCCCGCCCGCCTGCCTATCGTAAACTACCGCACCGTGTGCGTAAGCGTGCGGTGCCACCTAGTGCATACTCGTCAACCCATGCGGTTTGCCCGTATTCTTGTACAGGTAAATTGTGTAAAAAAATTGTCTATTTGTTTGTGGTTTTCGCTCGTGATTTGACTTTGTCGGATGAATGTTGAGATTTATAAGGGGCACGGGGTGACCAATAAGTTCCGAATTGGTCTGTAATAAGGTCGGCACTGATAAGGGGTTGACTGGTATGCTAGCGGCACCGTCGCATCTGCCCCAGTGGGTGTCGTCGTCACGTTGACGAGCGATTGCTTAGAAAAAAAACTACAGCTGTGACAGACGTGAAGAATTTTAAAGTATGTACATATACTGTATTTTATTTTCTATTTTGCCCAAAGTGGTCGAGAATGTTGTATATTTTTTTTGGTGATGGTTCAACGTTAACACCGGGTTTGATTAAATAAAGGGTACAATATAGATGCAGATCAAGATGAGTGTTTTATTTCACGTCACCTAACCTTGTTTCTCACGCCGACCTTGCAGCCTTGTTCTGCCTTTATTTCCTCAGGCAGGGCTCATGCCGCCACCACCACCACCACGGTTGTTCGCCGGTTTATTCCAGATTGTGGCAAAAAAAGATTGTGCAACATTGGCGCGCAAGGTGTTCATTCTGGAGTACAGCAAGATCTCGCAGTACGTGGGGGGGAGAGGGGGGGGTTAGGTTCTCCGTGTACCCCCGCGTAAGCGCGAATTCACGTGAGTTGGGGGTGTTCGCCTATGCGAGTGTAAATATACAACGTAAGAGTGCATATAAAATGTATATAAATGTACATAAATGTTGAATAAAGTACAAATCTGTACAGTCAATGATTCACTAACCATCGGTAGCATCCAGGTCAGAACACAATTTTTTTGGACTCGTTTCATGCACGGGCTATAGTTGCACGCCGTCAAATACACATTTACGTGTGGAGGAGATTTGACTCTCTTCCCGCCACGTGTGTAGCGATAGTACAAGTCACAATTGTAAGTATGAATCGGGGGTCGGTCGCGTATAAGCGGGTCTGTGTACTCCTAGCCCGTATCCTCTGAGCCCGCATACTCTTGAGACCTTACTGTATTGTTTCATTATAACTAAAGAGCGGTAGGCAAGTTGTGTCACCGCAGTTTTGCGCCAAGTGTACATGTTTATGACTCAAGTTCGATTCCCTGCCACGGATAACGTCACTGCACGAACCCACACCGACCAGCGTGCAGTTAAAGTTAAACAAATCCCACGGACCAACGTGTTATGGGGAAAGCCTTTATCTGGCATTGGAATATTCAAAGGGTCTTTACATTATTAAAATGTTCATGATTAAATAATTAAGGTGAAAAAGTCCAAAGCAAAATCCTATCGTCGTGAAAAGGGGGCTTCGGTGGTTGTACATTTGGTTTTCGTTTTTACAGAAACGCCAACTTAAAATAGTCTTATCGGATGACCGCTCTTTGTCTCTGTGCCTTCCACATTAAGCATTCCACTTGTGAAATTACCAATTTGTCACTTTTACTTTTAAACAGCCATTTCAGCCCTTGTACGTACAAGGACGGCCTATAACCAATGCACTGATCTTGTCAGATCTCGGAAGCCGAACAGTTTTGGAGCCTGCGTAGGGCTCGGATGGGTGACCAACATGAATAAAACAAGTGTTGTTGGCTGCTGCAGGGCTATGTTATCAGGAAGGACAGTGGAGCAAAATCCATTATTGTACTACCAACCCACACTGACCAGCAAAAAGTACGATCAAATAATGTCCACAATCTGCATGGAATAGGGTGGTCCTGGTCCTCATCCAGCAGTGGATTGATAAAATGTGTTATACACGTACGCATTAAATGACAAAGCAAGTTTGGAGTGCCCAAGAACCCATGCAAAGTTAACCTGTAGCATCATGCACTGCACCATACTTTTTGGGAAAAAAAAAACATTTGTTTGGAATTAACGTTGCAGCACAGGGCATGCCATGCCAGAGGGAATGAGTAGCAAGTTCTGGGAACGAGCCGCTGTGTTCACCTGTAAGAATGACAACGCGCAGAGATTCATTTGTGTTTTAATTTCTTTACTTTGTAATGCAAATATGCACAGGAGGCGGTCTGGAATTTCCAGAATTGCATCAGTTATTTGCGTTGTTGCGGGCACAAAGAATGACGCCCGCGGAATGCGCAGACGTGAACTACGCCAACACGTCTCTGCGGGTAGCTGCACCCGCGAGTTGTAGGATTCCTGGAAAAACCCGAGCTGGCTCCAAGTAGTTTGGTAACTTTGAAATAGTGGTGCTTTCACAAAGGGTGGGGGGGGGAGCGGATGTGATAGAGATCCTAGAGGCCTGGTCCCACACATAAGCGATCAGTTGCACAACCGAATTGACGCTCGAAATCGTCGCAGCTTACATCATCGCTCGCAACTGCTTTCGTCTTCCATCGGAGTGAGTAGCTGCGCGAAAAAGGACGTGTCAAAAGAAGCCCATGCCCTTTACCGAATCGCGCCACCCACATCGGGATTGTAACGACCAATCATAGTTCACAAATGTGCAGCACAATGAAATACGTTGCTATAAATCGCTCGAAAGAACTGTCCACTGTAAGCAACGGCTTGCATAACTGGCTGCAGAGACGTCGACATATAAGCGATTCAGCTGCATGCAGCCAACCAAAAGTTGCCTTCATCCTGTGACCAATGGGGCCACTGGAATGCCACGGTTTGATGTTGCAACCAAGTTGCAAACCTGATCGTGGAGGTGTGGACCCGGCCGTACATCATCCCACGGGGGATTCACAATCGCCGCGTGCGTTCACGAGGCGACATCGCACAAAAGCCCTCGGGCCACGGCAAATCATTTACGGTTGGCGCGTTTCCCCTTCACAAACCGATTAGAAACAACGTATTCATTTTTAAAAGTACATCTGTAATAAAAGTTACCCATGATACGCGTCCGAGATGCACTGCTACGCTCGGCACATGGAATGACCTCAACCCTGGCGATCGATTTTTGATAACGAGCGTCACGGCGTGTGCCCTCTTTGCCGCCCGGCTACTTAACTGTCCGGCTATGTAACCGTCACCGCTTCTGCACATGTCTTGAGCCTGTCCCCTTTAGCACAATCAATCATCCTTGCCTCGGTTTTTACGTTGCGTTGTGCAGCTCTCCGATGCGTTTTGAGGTTGTGTACCGCGTGCAGTTAGGGATGATGGCCATCCACGGATTTGAATTTGGATGGAGAATCGGTAAATGTGGAAGCACGCACTTTGTGGTGGGTTTTTGAGAATGTAAATGTTTGAGACCGTTCCGTTCGTGTTTATTTCCAGCAGAGACACCTGACTGCTGATTCAAGCGTCATTCTGGGTTTTAAATCGCTAGGGATGCATTGATTCCACCCCTCCTGATTCCACACAGTTTAATGAATGGTTACAATTTGTGGTTACGATTACGTTCACACGTCACTTATATTTTGCCCTGGTAGTGCGAGTAGAATCATGGCTAAAGTATCTTAAAGAAGCAATAACATTGAGGAAATAGCGAATTCGTAAATCCACATGTTGATGTACATACCGTAGTAAAAACATAAATGGCAACATTTTAAAGCCAAATTGTGATATGCCTATTGGGGTGTAACAATTCACTCCCTCCTAAGCAATTCATTTTTAAAAGTGGTGATTGTAGCAGGCTCAAGTGGTAGGAGCGGGGGTGGGGTTATGTAACATAACTTACAACGTACACACAAAACAACAGATTCTCATGTACATCGTTTGGCTAATGTATTATGAGCATAATTTATTAAGCAACGAATGTATGCACTGTTACACACAACTCCTATTCACTCGTAAACCTGTTGTGTAGAGCCCTTTTTCAAACCACTGCTGGACAAAAGCCTCTGCAGGCGGTGTCGGTAATGGGGGGGTTGTTTGCTCTACCGTTGCCATGCTGGTCACAGTACGGGTTGGGAAAGGAGAGGGGATATGGCCCAAGATGGCTTTGGATATCACTCGCCACTAATGTTTGGCTCCGTCCGAGAATCGGGTTCTGGGTTGCTGTATTTGCAGAGCGGTGCGCCGACTATTGCGCCACCGCTCCCCTTCCCGCCTTACTCCTGGTGTCATTTAAATTGGCGCGATGAGCGGCGCTGCCATCACAGCTGCCTGGCGTTGTCTTGTTCCCAAGGTGGCGCTCTCGCCTTGGCCAGGCGCTGTGCCTCGGGCCGTGATGATGATGACGACGACTTAGCTGCAGTCCTTGTGGCACATTAATTTACCACGTCCGTGAGGTGACGGTAGACAATTTACCCTTACGCATCTGCATTACAACAAGAGACCAGATGGACACAGGAGTAGCCCCCATGAGTGGAGTTCATAACCGCTTGTGTGGTTTCATCAAGGTGGACCCAGAGGCGATACGAGGCCCTAATGCTGCACAGCCTCTCCTCAATCGACATCCGTGGTAATTTCACATCTATTTATTTTTTACATCTGATTGGCAAATGATTGCTAAACGTTAAAAAAAAGTCCGTACCTTGTTGACACGAGGGGGTGTGAGATCGGAACCCGGATGATGCAGTGGGTTCGCTGTGGTGGTGAGTGCCTTATGCAGAACTTTTTTGAGGGGGAGTTAGCAGACCAGGCAGAGGTTTACTTGAAGAGCCCTAATCTTGTCGAACGACATTGGCCCAGACGGCCGTAGACCAAGTAGGTTTCTGACCTATGTACACATTTTCTGCGTTATCACCGTCGTTCAGCGCGCCTGTTTTCCCCAGACACTTGCTCCCGTTTCCCACTGGTACATCCGAGCCAGCGCAGGACCTTAAGCGGTGGGGCAGGTGGGTTTTCCCCCACTTGCGCCGAGCCCGAACCAAACTACGATATGCCGAGCTGACAAGACAAACCCGAATTTGGCTCCGCAGGGACAAGCAGGGCAGGGCTGGGTCTAACGGTGCGTTGGCCGCGTGTGGACGTCGGTACGCGGAGAGCAACGCAGTGTGTCACCCGCGGCATCTTACACGGAGTCTCAGCTTTCGATTATTGCACGTCGAAGTCGGCGGCACGGGCCCTGGCGCGGCTCGGAGGCGAGGTGGGAAAAGAGGCATCCGGTTTCCTCCCACGCGAAAACGACCAAACATCTCGATAAACAAGACTCCCCCCCCCCCTCTTGCAAGAGAGAGAGAGAGCCCCGAAATTCACTCGCCGAAACCTCTCCGGATAAATAAAGTACTGTTGTCATTATTACTGTAATACTAAACCCCTCCCCCCTGCAAGTCGCCAGCGCCGGTGCGATCTTTTGAGAGTTCGCTCACCCCCCCACCCTACCCCCACCCCCCCCCTCCCCAAAAAACGATGCTCAGCTGTCGCCTCCGTCGTCATCGTCGCTGGCGCCGCCGTCGGGGTACATCTCCGTGGGGATGTCGGCGTCCGTGTCGGCGCCGCCCACGCGCTCGATTGTCACCAGCCCGTGGAAGAGCGCGTAGCCCACCATGGCGCCCACCGCCACCAGCAGCGACAGCAGCTGGTTCCGCAGCTTGTGTGGCTCGTGATCCCCCTCGGACGGCGAGCCTGCGGGCTCATTCTGCCGCCGCTGGTGATTCTTGCTCCGTGGGCCGTCTGCGGAAGAGGGAGGGGGTCTGGTCAGTTTGTGGGTAGGGGCGCTCCGGCAACAACGGTCATCCCTCGCAGGGCGGCAGCGGCTTGTGGCTTAAGCCATCGGACAAAGACGGTCACGCGCGCTTTCAGATGCGCTTCTGCGGCCGTCTGGAACGCCCTCCCGATATTAGGAAGCCAATGAAGCTATGCACTGTAAAATCATCTAGAGTGACGAACTAATTTCTTTAGAACTGCTATTTTGTGTTTAGTTTGGTGTCCTTCCCCCACACCTCTGATAAATACGGTTGGCTATGTACGGCGCGTAAGATATTTAACATACAACGGGAGGAGCGACGAACAACAACGACAACAACAATAGGCGGAGCGTATGGTGGTGCAGCTGCCATTGACGGGCGTTCGCGCCAGGATTGCGTTTGGAATAATGTTCGGCCTACCGATTTGCTGCAGCCCAATTTCAGCAATGAGCGGCGTTATTCGGCGCCATCCCGCACACATTCCACCCACCTCTCCCGCCCCGCCCTTACCCTGCTCGTCCTGTGGGAAGTACTGCGCCAGTATGCGCTGGCAGAAGCGGCACAGGTTGTCCAGCCCCTTGAGGTGCTGCTGCAGCTTGGCGCTGGGCAGCGGCGCAAGCAGCAGCGGAGCCACGTGTCCCAACACCACCGCGTCCAGCGTGCTGGGCCTGCGCACACGGGGTGGGGCGGGGAGGGGGCGGTGAGGGTGGGGGGCAGGGTGGGGTGGGGGGTGTCAGTGAGCGACCGTCCAGAGCAGGGGAGGTGTTTGTGTACGGCAGCCTCCTTGTGCTTCTGCTGCTCTCGTATGGCGGGGGAGGAGTTTGGGTTGCCACCTGTCCTGCTTTTCCCAGGATCGCCTCTTGTTGCAGTAGCTGCGCGTCTTTCCAGGACATTAAAACGTTCCGTTGTTTTGCGAGCGGCTCTTACTAAGAGGGCAAGTGGCAACTGCCGATTGCAAGCAGACCTACTTCCGATATAAGCACACCGCATTTGCTCCCACTGGGTGTGCTTATACATCCAGAATTCGACTGCGCCACACGAGCCGACCACTTACGAGTCGCGGAAAAAGTATTCCTTGTCACCCAGCGTGTGTGACAGAAGGCTGAGGCAGTCCATTGCCTCCGCGTAAATCTGGAATCGAGAAAAAACACAAAAAAAACGTAGACTCAATAATCATTAGCACGGTTTGCTACGTACGCTGCGAAAGAAGTTCGACATGCATGCGTAGACAACGTAGGGGAAAAATATCCACCTATTTTTAAACTCGCTCAACGCAACACACGATCTTGAAAACGACAATTTTACTGCCATTTAAAAGACGAAAAGATAGCAACAAATGCTTTCTTGACTTGGCCGCAGACTATCATCTGGAACGCGCCCCAATGCCATCAAGACCTCTTAAGCTAAGCCGGCTTTGAACCTGGACTGCGCCTGGATGGGTGACCACCATGCACGCTAGGTTGTCTTAGGCAGCTGCAGGGGCTGTGCTAATTCGTAACGAACAAGAGGGAGGTGCAGCAAAATCCACTGTACTGTGGCGAAGTACGCTTGAACAATCCCCGCGATCCACACGGCACGGGGGGGGGGGGGGCCTTCTCCTCCAGCGGCGTCTACATACGTAGACGTTTTGCCTTAGGGTGACACGCGCGACGTTTTAAGTCGCCGTCGTTTGGCACCAGCGGAACTGCACCGGCGTTGCTGCGTATTTGCGGGCCGAGTGCGGCGGGGGGTTTACCTCGCTCTGGACGGCCTCCTCCATGGGGTCGGCGTCCCCGCCGCGCATCTGCCGCAGCCTCTCCTCGGCGGCGTGGTGCATGCGGTTGGGCAGGACGAAGTTGAGCGGGAAGGGGATGGCCTCTCCGTGCCACGGCCGCGTCAGCTCCACGTAGTTCACGGGGTCCAGCCACATGGCGTGCGTCTGCATTGCGTGTACACGTGTGTGCGTGTGTGCGTGTGTGCGTGTCGGGAGGGGAGTGGTGGTGGAGCGGGTTAGCGCGCTGCGCTACCAACCTGGTAACCAGAGGTTCCATTCCCCCTCACGGCCACCAACATCAGCGACGAATATCTAAACCGGTCCTGGGCCTCCCCTAGGTTGACTTGGCCTCAATTGAGGACCTGGTGTGGTGTGTAAACATCGCCACTGGGGGCGCGGTGTTGGCCACCCACCCCCGAGTGTGCCATGTCCATCTTCATAGGTGCTCGCTAAAAGCACTTGCCCCGACAGTCTGGTCAGGCTACACGGGGGATCTTTGTCAAAAGAGAGATGGGATGAGGATGTTTTAACGCTTACGTACGCATGTATGTTGAACTTCTTTCTCACCGTACGTAGCCAACCGTGCTAATCGGAGATGCGGGTTCATTTGGAGTGCTCTTACTTTATAATATCTGGTAGCCCCAAGATTAACTAAATGATCTGCTGCTGCATTGGCAGTGGTGCACAAAATACTCAATACATCTGTGTCTGTGTGTGGCCTTAAATGGAAAAAAATATATATTCACTATTTTGCCCGCGATGTACTGCCATTCTCTTCTCGCGCACGCAATAATTGATGCGTTTACCGTGACCGCATCTCGTGCAGGGGGGGGGGGGGGGCGGCGGCCCTCCTTCGCGGCAAACACAATGTGCTGTCGGGAAGGGCCACTGCCGATGCGTTGCCCACGTAGGCTTTCGCGACCAATTTCATCCCTAAGGCTTTTTTTTGGGGTTAGATCGCGTAAATAAATGTGTCGTTATACCCGCCGCCACCCGACACAGCCAACTAGTAAGGTTTGTCATGTAAACGGAACGTGCCAAATCGTCACTAGTACAGCACGCCGGTGTTTTTAACAAAAAATAAAAACAGTAACAAACCCTTCACCATAATAGCGGTTTTTTGGGTTAGATCTATTGTGGATAATATTGGTCGCGAAAGCCTACGTGTTAAACCCTTCACCGTTATTCCTTATGGGAAAAGGACTCCCGCTTTACGCCAATTCACTTTGCGTGGCAACGTTCAGGCAAGGGACCCCCCGCGTCCAGCGAGGAACTCTTCGCTCATCACCCCGTGGCTTTCCGCTCGGCCCAAGCTCGGCTCATTTTGGTCCGGTGCGCCAATCACGCCCGCCCGCCCGCCACTGCACTTAGCCTGGCACAGGCGCCGTGGCGACGTCACCGCCACTTGGTGGCAAATGGCGGCTGTCGTCGTTGTTGATGTACTTTGCAGGATTCGTTTTTTTTTTTCCCTCCATAGGAATGCATCTCCAATAATATATCGTGGAGGTCCATGGGGAAACAAGGATTCGAGATTCGGAATTCTGCTTTACGGACAACTTTTCAGGAATGTACCCGTTCCATACATCGAGGGATGTATGATAAGTGCTCTTTGTGTTCAATCCACGCTTTTGCTCTCCCTCCTCTCGCCCCCCTTGACTGGAACAAACTTCCCCCTCCACATTAGGCGGTCACCTTCGCTCACTAAGTTTCCGCTCCTCACTCAAAACTCGCTTATTTTTCCCTGGCCCGCCCCACAACCCCCCCCCCCCCCCCCCCCTTAATCTCCCCCGCATTACCACGACCGTTACTGTTCCCTCTTCACATTCTCATTACATGGCTATTATTCATTGACCCCATTCATTAAATCCATCCGTCGTCAATTACCGTCATCAATTTCGCTTTCGCCGAATTCACGCATCATCACAGATTTGCCCCCGTTGCTTCCTCCCTCGTCTATTTCGTTCGCCTCGTCTCCGCCATTGCAATCATACGTTGGTACCGTTGATCAGTATTTGTAAAGCGCCTTGCTTTCAGGCGCGATATAAATTACGTTAAGGTAAGTCTGTAATGAATCGATTCTCACGCGCACGATTAAATGCACGTATCGTGAGCGTGAGATTAAATTTCAATGAAATAAATCCCTTTCCCACAGTTTACTAAACCCACGGAAGACGAGTGCTCGAGTGCGGGCGATGCCGCAGCACGGTTTGGCGATGGCATTTCAAAATACGCTCGCGACCTTCACGGTTGACCGACACGTGTCCCACCAACTTGTACAGCTGGCAATGTAAAACATCCAGAGGGTAAAGGTTCAGCCCTGCAATGACGTTCTCACGCCACTGGCGGCATAGGGCACCACTTGAGGAAGCTGACGAGAGACCCTCCATTAGAGTATTTGGCCTCTTTCTTTGGTGCAATATGCCTGTTTTATTTGTGAATTTTATTACTATTAAAAGCACTAATGTTGCCAGCACCTCTGACGCGTTCTGATCCGCTGCTTCCTGTTTCCTCCGTGTGCATCACATTGATGCCGCTGTTCTCTGCCGATGCACCACAGATCTTCCTTTGCAGACTAGCTGGGTAACTGGCTCCACGCAACTTTTTTTCATTTAACGAGTGAACATCGATTGAAGGACCGACTCCGACGCTGGAAAAAGATGCGAGTGTCTTGGTAGAGGTGGGGAGTAGCAAAACCTTAACCACCCACAATGTGTGTCGGTTGACTAACTGCGGTGCACCCACCAACGCTGCCGGGTGGACAAATGCGGGGGGGGGGGGGGGGGGGAGGGAGTTTAAGAAACTTGACCATCGCCAAACTGCCACGTGTGGGGAGATCGAATTGACCCCCGGCGCCCTCCGGGTTGCGAGTCCGCGTGCGCCGACCTTCACGCCGCGGCAGCGTCCCTCGCGGACAAGCGGGAGCTCGCCGTGCACGTTATACGCCGTTAACGTTACCCCGTCGCGAGACAGTTGCGCGCGCGCGCGCGCTTCCTTACGAGCGCGGGCTGGAGCTTCTGCTCGACGAGGGCGATGAAGGCCAGCGTGTCGGCGCCCTCCTTCGGAGAGAGGCCATAGTCGGCGTTGAAGTTCTGAAACAGCGGCGGAGCCACAAGTCGACTTTTAAAATTTGGCGACACGTCACGAGTCGCCGACACGACCCAAGTGCTCTCTTGTCTTGGGGAAAAAGAACACGCGTGGTGATAAAAGCACAACTCAAAAAAAATTGCTGTACGCTGCCATAGTGGGTGGGCAAGAAAGTAACATTTCAGCTTTGCGGTGTGTCTTCGGGTTGCCCCACGCGTTGTACAGCACGGTTTTAAATTTGCGGTGAGCTTCTCTGGGATAGTTCTTGCAGAAGCTCCAAGTATGTGGAGTCAGATATCATGCTGAGAAATGCGGTACAAACCAAAAAAACACATCGTATAGCTCTACAGCAGCACACCTATCATCTTGTGTTTATACAGGTTAAATGGGCACATATGTGTTATTACCTACAATCCACCACGGCAGTGCATAGGGCACTTTGTACACTCTTGCTGTACGGCAGCGAAGGAGCGTTCATGCAGGGACTCTTGCCTCTCACATCAGCACCGTTTGTTAAACAGGCAACAATGTTCATAATAAAGGTTTTTTGGGTTGGATCACGTTATTTATAAATGTGTCGTAACCCTCCACCACCCGACACGGCCAATCAGCAAAAAAGTGTCACGTTGACAAAAGACAAATAGTTCACTACTTTAGCCCACCGGTGTGTTGAAGAGTGAATCCACAACATTGACAGTTTGAGTACGACGTTTCGCTGGTAATTAAATCCAGCATCATCGGGCAATTCGCCAGAATGGTAAAGCCCTCACTTGCTCCCGGTCTTAAACAGAGCAGCAGGGTGACGTCATCATTTAACTCAAGCCTACCTGTTCAAAAGGCAACAATGTTGTTGAAAATCAGAAAAGTCAAAACCAGGTAGAAGCTCGTTGACTTAAGGTCTGCTGGTAAACATTGGGTCTAAAAGGCCCACAGCCTGATGGAACTTTATCATGTAGATTTTTTTTCAATTGGTGAAACAAACCCTTGTACGACTATCTTTTATTTGTACTTTTCAGTGGATGAGGCTACGCACTGTACCTGTTTTCTAAGGTGGTCGAGGATTTGTAAGGGTTGAGTTATGACGTTCTTGCCCGACTTGAACACTGGCAGGCTCCCTGCGGGGAAAAGCAACAACAAACGCGTGCGCTGACGTGCGGAACGTAAAGTTTAACAAACAGTAGTAGGCTTTCTCGGCCAATATTATCATCCATAAGAGGTCAAATATAAATGTGTCGTTAAACCCGCCACCACCTGACACAGCCAATTATTAGTATTGTCATGTAAACAAAACATGCCAATTCGTTACTAGTTCAGCACGCCGGTGTGTTGGAGAGTAAACCCACAATTGTAAATTCTAAATGTGTGGGTTTACTCTCCAATACACAACCGGTGTGCCGAACTAGTAACGAATTGTGTTGGAGTGTAAACCCACAATTGTCAATTCTAAATGAGTGTGGGTTTACTCTCCAACACACCGGTGTAACGAACTTGGCAATGTTCTCTTTACGTGACAAACCTTACTAATTGGCTGTGTCGGGTGGTGGCAGGTTTCACGAAAACCTTTATATTTACGCGATCTAACCTCAAAATATCCCCCTCTATTATTTGAACGTAGAGTCTGAAAACTATTTTTCATGCAGGGGTCTCCGTATTGCGGTGTTTTGGCCAATTCCTCGTATGGCTTCACGTGCAGGAAACCGCAGAACTCGGGGTGAAAATCCACCACACATACGAGGGGATGATAACAAGCAACAGAGAGACCTGCACAAACGAGGAACGGACTTCTCTTACCTGCACCGAAACTCAAAGCACTGCACAAATAGATTGATGGATGCGTACTGTAATGAATTTAGCACAGTACTGAAGTACTCTTGATCAACTGGTAAATCGTTTTCAAGGATTTACCCAAGTTGGCCAGATAAATCCCTGTCAGTGCACATCATTAATCAAACGTAATTTTAACTGGGCCGTCGCAGGGTTTGGCCTCTCTCCATGCATTATTTTTACCGCACATAAATATTAATTAATAAATCAAAGTAATTAAGCCGTCTAACCCTGGGATGCCAGATCCGGGATCAACCGTTGTGTAGTTCGTAATGAACAACGCCAGCCACAATGTCATTGCCATGTCAACTCGCATGAGCACGCACGGGTATTTAGTTAATCCACTGCTGGATGCAGGGCTCCTCCCAGCCTGTGCAGATCATGGGGGTAATTTGCCCTACTTCGCCATGCTGGTGAATGCAGAGAGGTGTGTGCATATTCGTGCCGTACAACTGACTTTAGTAAAACAGTATTGTCCTCTGCTGCCCACCATGTAGCCCCAAAGACAAAGATCCCTATGAAGGCCGGCACGGCACACGAGGGGGGGGAGGGGGTAGGGGGGGGGTGGCCAGCATCACACCCGACCGCCTTTGTCTCCCCCGTTGGCGATGTTTTTTTACGCACCGCACCGGGTACCCCTTCGGCCACGCAGCCACCCCCCGGCAGCCTGTAACACCTGCTTATGCACGGCACATCCGAATAAGTGCTCCTTTAAAGAAGATTCCATTGTACTCGTCTATCGTTGCTGTCAAAGCAAAGAAGCCAGGGGTGGGTGGGGAATCTTTTTTCTGCCAAGGGCCATTTGGATATTTATATAACATCATTCGCGGGCCATACAAAATGATCAACTTAAAAATTTGCACCGTTATATTTGGTCAAACATTCAATTAACTCGCCCCTAATGCGATGGCTGGAACTGCTCCTCTTTGGTGAGGCGTGTGACGATGTTAGCCGGCGTTGACGATGTTGCTGCTACTCGCAACTGCTTTTCCAGGTTTGCTCCCCTAGATTTATTGAATTTCGAGTCCCGCCTGCGGTTGCCTTGGCAGGGCCAGAGACCCAAATGATTTCGCGGGCCTAATAGGGCCCGCGAGCCGGGACGTTCCCCACCCCTGCGCTAAGCCGTCTGGATACGGGGGGGGGGGGGTCTCTGGTCGCCCTGACCTGTCGGCGTCCACCAGGGGTTGTTGGTCCTTTGCAGCTTCAGGGGGGCTCCGGCGAACTTGGCGTAAGCCTGGGGCGGAAGGGGGTCACGAAGAGGACACGGGGGGGGGGGGGTGGTTGGTGAAATCGGCCGCGAGGAGTAGAGCAAGACGACCGCAAAGACCGAGAACGCCTCGGCGGACGAAACTCGTGCAGGACCGGGATGACGAAAATCCCGAAGCGCCGCAGTTGGGTCCAAGGCGGTTGTGACCGGGTTACATTCCTGTCAACCGCTTATCAGTGCCCTCTACCTTATTACAGACCAATTCAGACCTATATGAATCTTTTCAACCTACAAAGTCACCGTCACAAGGGAGAAACACAAACAAATAGACGAAATGTTTTTTTGTTGCTACCCGTATTGAAACGGCTGTACGCCGTATGGACCTGCAAACTCAATTTCCCTGTACAAGAATAGGGGGTACACCGTATGGGTTGACAACTATGGGGGCGGGGGGGGGTTAACAGACTGTAGGGGCAAGTGTTGTTAGCGAGCATCTATGAAGGCACGGCACACACGAGGGGGTGGGTGGCCAGCACCACGCCCGGCCGCCTTTGTCTCCCAGTGGCGATGTTCACACCGCATCGGGTACTCATTTGAGGCTGAGTCGACCTAGGGACGGCCCAGGGACCGGTTCAGGTAATCGTTAACAGTGTTGGCCGTGAGCAGGAATCGAACTCGGGTAGCCGGGTTCGTAACGAAAGCGCGCTAACCGCTCCACCACCGCTCGAGACAAACACACACACACATGTACACACAGAGACAGACACACAAACACACATGTACACACACAAGTACACACATAGAGAGACCAACACACACGCGACAAACACATCTATATGGCACCGGTCGCCACCCTCTAACCCTCCTCGGCGGCCCGGGCGGTCGTTCACCCTGCCCGGGCGAGGGTCTCGGGCTAAGGAGTCCCCGGGATGGCAACGGAAGTCCCCCAGTGGCCCCGGCGGTTTCGCGCCCTCGCCCCCTCGCTCGCCTCCTCGCCCCCTTGCTCGCTCGCTCCCTCGGCCACTCGCTCGCCCCCTTGCCCGCTCGCTCGCCCCCTCGCCCGCTCGTCCGCTCCCTCGCTCCCTTGCCCGCTCGCTCCCTCGGCCACTCGCTCGCCCCCTCGCCCGCCCGCTCGTCGGCTCGCCTCTACGCCCGCCCGCTCACCATGACCGTGAGGCTGCCCGGCTCCACGGACGGCAGCCCCCAGTCACCCCGCCAGCACTGCAGCTCCATGGGCGCGGACATGTTGCAAGGCGGTGGGGCCCGCGGTGACCCCGTGAACCCGGAGACGGAAGTTGGGGTCATAGAGGTGGTGGGAGGGGGAGGGGTCTCTACCCAGAATGCACCGGGGAGGACAGCCCCCACCTCTTATGTAATGTCGTGATTCTCTCGGTGAGGTTTTCACACCTGATGATGATTGCTTGCGTTGCGATCGAAACGTCGTGAGAATTTTATTGGTTTTATTTTTTTGTATTAATTTAGTATTTCCCATCTACGTGACTTTACCGAAAGAACCAAGAAAATGAATCCCTGCAGTCACGAAAGCTTTCAATCGAAAGTCGTCGTCGTTATTAATGTTGGTGATGTAATTCGAGTTGTCACAAATAAGAAAATGTGTTTGGCCTGCCTGGCGATACAACAGGAGTTGTGTTAAGATGTTGAAACACCGAAGAATCGAGTCCCCGTTAACCACACACAGTCCCTGTGGTGGACATGCGAGCACACGTGGCTCTGATAACACTATGTAACACGATTTTACTGGTAGGAACCTCCTGGTTACTACACCAGCCCACACGGGATTATTGTGTCCGTCCGTCCGTCGTGCATCCAAAAATGGGAGGGGTGGGGCTGGGTGGAGAGGGGAGGGTGGGGGAGGGGCTGTGTGGAGAGGGAGGGGCTGGGTGGAGAGGGGCTGGGTGGGGAGGGGAGGGTGGGGAGGGAGGGGCTGGGTGGGGAGGGAGGGGCTGGGTGGGGAGGGTGGGGCTGGGTGGGGAGGGGCTGGGTGGGGAGGGTGGGGAGGGAGGGGCTGGGTGGGGAGGGAGGGGCTGGGTGGGGAGGGTGGGGAGGGGAGGCTGGGGAGGGGCTGGATGGGGAGGGTGGGGCTGGGTGGAGGGGGGAGGGAGGGGCTGGGTGGAGAGGGGAGGGTGGGGAGGGGCTGGGTGAGGAGGGTGGGGCTGGGTGGGGGGTGGGAGGGGTAGGGCTGGGTGGGGAGGGGCTGGTCACACCGTGGTGCCCTTACAAAACTCAACGTTTAACCTACTCACGCCGGCTTATGCCCGCCCTCACAGTCGGGCATATTTGCGGAATACACCACGTGGTGCCGCTGTTGACCCTGACCATTGACCGAGCAACGCATCGTTCCTACCAGCTCCCTCCTCATGAATGTGTTTGTTCCTGGGTAGTAAGTGTTATTTTCTAATTGCTTATGCCTCAAAAGTATAGAAAATGGCTATTATTCCCCACAAACTTTGCTTTTGCGACCAGGACTTTATGTGAAGGATGACACAAATGTACGCGTTTTCTCATTCAAAATTTAAAAATACCCAGGAACAAAAAAATAATACATTTGTTAAAGTGTTATTCATGGAATGGATAATTGATTTTGCGTTTGTCTCCTAGTCACAAAAACAACGTTTGTGGGAAATAATAGCCATTTTTTGTACTTTTGAGACATAAGCAATTAGACAATTACACTTACTTCCCAGGAACATTTTTTTAATATTACAGTGTAATGTCCATTGACTCCTCGACTTGCGAGCATCCGACTTGCGAACTTTCAGAGATAAGGACGAAGCTGTCCCGTATGTCATGTAGATGCCACGTGAAGAACCGGTGGCGTCGACATCTGCAGGAGATTATACAACCTTTAAAGGCATTCCCCCGGGTCTAGTTTACACGCCATAACAACACGTTTGGAATCGACGGGAGTGAAGTTTGAACTTACGGACAAATCGACTTACGAACAGACCTCTGTAAACGAACCCGTTCCTAAATAGCGGAGTCCCTGTATGGCATTGTCTTTGAAACTGATTGACCTACACCAGAGACAGTCTTCTTTATGGCCTAGTGTCACCAATATAATTCGATATACTGTGAAATTATAGATGACACGAGACAAAAACAATATCCGTGTTTAAAAAAAAATAATTTAAAAAGAGGCTCACAAGTTAAAATGGAAGGAACGTCATGTTTATTAAAGTCACATCAAGCCATGCATTAAAATTCCTTATCCCCCATCGTGTAAATTCGATGGGTAAACTTTACTCGTTGGTTCTTTCGGTAAAGTCACGTAGGGTAGAAATAACATAAAACAAATCACGACGTTTCGATCGCAACACGAGCGATCTTCATCAGGTGGAACAATCACAGCACGAAAGCTTCAAATCAAGGGTAACCTTTACTTGAAGCGATTCGCTACATCAAATGTATGGCTCATAATTAAGTCATACAACACGCCTCTGTCTATTGCTTAAACATTGATGTCCTTGTAGTGTTGATAATAGCAATGAAGCTCATTGCAATAAGGGGGTCCCCATTAGTGTAGAGGAGACAGCTCGCTTGTATATCGGTGTTGTTACTCTTCCAGTTTCGTCACCTTTCGTCGTTATTAATCGTCGATTACGTTTGTGTTGGAATTGGCACGCAAGCACAGGTAACTAAACAACCCAACACATTCGTGATTTTGAAAGAACAATATGTAAAGGGTGACGTTTCAGGCAATCGCCCTTCTTCATAGCACGAGAAGAATAAAAGTGTAAAATAAGAGATGGAGGCTGCACCATGGCACCTGACGATTATGAAAATTGTAAAAAAAATGCTTACTGGCATTTTAAATAGGCACAGGGCCGTCCATAAATGACGTCACGCGATTTTGGACGATTTTTGACCATCCCCCTCCCCCCTTCGTCACACGACGTCACAAAAAGTCAGACCACCCCTCAAATATGACGTCATAAAGCTCTGCCCCCCCCTCCCCCCAAAATAAAACATGCTTCAAATCGCTTTAAACTATTGTCATTGTAGTGTATACTTAATGTGGCGCTGCACTCCGATGTTGTAGGAGAAAACATTTATTAAAAAGTCTTAATTAATCAGAACGTGTTGTCTATATTTAAAGTTGCGCATTCTGATGTGACGTCACATTTCTCAACCCCCTCCCCTTGTCACGCATCGTCACAAATGTCTGACCCCCCCACCCCCTAGGTGCGTGACGTCATTTATGGACGGCCCCATATGCATAATTGCGCTAATAGTAGCTGTTGAATAGCAAACCCCTCCAATCAAATAGTATTACTCCTTTATACGCTCATTTATATTCAAAGTTACATTTCTAAATAATCCATGATCGATCCACTGCTGGATGAAATGCTTCCCCGAGCCTTTTTTCCCACCCTTACGATCCCGTGAAGGTAACAATGTAGCCCGCTCCTGCTCACGAGCTCGTTTCATCGCTCCATCTCCGTGGCGGACGTGACCCTCTGAGACGCGTTCCGTTACCTTGGCGTTTACAAAAGGTCATTAATACTGGTAGGAACCTCCTGGTTACTACACCAGCCGACAGGGGATTATTGGGTGCGTCCGTTCGTCGTGCATCCAAAAATGGGAGGGGTGGGGCTGGGTGGAGAGGGGAGGGTGGGGAGGGGTTGGTTGGGGAGGGAGGGGAGGGTGGGGAGGGGCTGGGTGGGGAGGGTAGGGAGGGGCTGGGTGGGGTGGGTGGAGCTGGGTGGGGGGTGGGAGGGGTGGGGCTGGGTGGGGAGGGGCTGGTCACCCCGTGGTGGGGGGGGGGGGGTCAGACATTTGTGACGATGTGTGACGAGGGGGGGGGGGGGGTGAGAAATGTGACGTCACATCAAAATGCGCAACTTTAAATAAATATAGACAACGCGTTCTACTTAATTAAATATATATTTTTAAATAAATGTTTTCTCCTACAACATAAGAGTGCAGCGCCATATTAAATACGTACTACAATGACAATAGTTTAAAGCGATTTGAAGCATGTTCTATTTGGGGGGGGGGGGGGGGGC